TCCCCCGGGGACCCGCACCCCGCTCCCGCCGCTCACCTGCGAGCCCCACGGTGCTGCGGGGAACCAGGTCCCGAGGGAAGGGCTGCGCCGAGAGCAGGGGGGGGCCGGGGAGGAGGAGGAGGAGGAGGAGGAGGAGAGGCAGGGGGAGCCCCGGCATCGCCGCGCAGGGCTGAAGGGGGCTGATCTCAGAGGGGAAACTGAGGCACGGGGGGGGGGGGGGATCGGGGGGCACAGGGCAGCGCTGGGGAGGGAGCGATGCGGGGATCCCCCAGTGCGGGGATGGGATCTCCGGTGCCTGCTCCCCGCGGTGGTCCCAGTGCCCCCGCTTCAGTGTCCCCATATCCCCCTCCTGGTGCCCCCTCCCGATGGTCCCAGTGCCCCCGCTTCAGTGTCCCCGTATCCCCATCCCAGTGCCCCCGCTTCAGTGTCCCCATATTCCCATCCTGGTGCCCCCTCCCAGTGGTCCCAGTATCCCCGCTTCAGTGTCCCCGTATCCCCATCCTGGTGCCCCCTCCCGATGGTCCCAGTGCCCCCGTTTCAGTGTCCCCATATCCCCATCCTGGTGCCCCCTCCCGATGGTCCCAGTATCCCCGTTTCAGTGTCCCCATATCCCCATCCTGGTGCCCCCTCCCGATGGTCCCAGTATCCCCGTTTCAGTGTCCCCATATCCCCATCCTGGTGCCCCCTCCCGATGGTCCCAGTATCCCCGCTTCAGTGTCCCCATATCCCCCTTCTGGTGCCCCCTCCCAGTGGTCCCAGTGTCCCCTTTTCAGTGTCCCCGTATCCCCACCCCAGGGCCCCCGTTTCAGTGTCCCCATATCCCCCTCCTGGTGCCCCCTCCCGATGGTCCCAGTGCCCCCTTTTCAGTGTTCCCATATCCCCCTCCTGGTGCCCCCTCCCGATGGTCCCAGTGCCCCCATTTCAGTGTCCCCATATCCCCCTCCTGGTGCCCCCTCCCAGTGGTCCCAGTGCCCCCGCTTCAGTGTCCCCATATCCCCATCCTGGTGCCCCCTCCCAGTGGTCCCAGTGCCCCGTTTCAGTGTCCCCGTATCCCCATCCCAGTGCCCCCGTTTCAGTGTCCCCATATCCCCATCCTGGTGCCCCCTCCCAGTGGTCCCAGTGCCCCGTTTCAGTGTCCCCGTATCCCCATCCCAGTGCCCCCGCTTCAGTGTCCCCATATTCCCGTCCTGGTGCCCCCTCCCGACGGTCCCAGTGCCCCCATTTCAGTGCCTCTGTGCCCCCGTCCCAGCGCTCCCAGTGCCCACAAGCACCCCCCAGCACCCCCGCGTCCCGCACAGCGCCCCAAGCACCCCCCACACCTCTCACAGGACCCCCCCCACATCCGCACCTCAACAACGCCCCTCGCGACACGAGCCCCTCCCGCCCCGACCCCTCCGCTCTCGGTACCGGCTCCGCGCCCCGAGCGGTCCCGAGCGGAGCCGAGCAGCCCCGAGCGGCTCCGCCCCGGAACGGGCCGGGACGGGCCGGGAGCCGGAGCGGGGCCGGGGGCGGGACCGGGAGCCTCCGTGGGCCGCGTGTCCCGGCCCCGCGGCCAGCGGAGGCCACCCTATAGATAGGCGTTAATCCCCGCTAATGACATGATCCTCATTAGCGGCTGAGCGCTGCTTGCACACGCGTGTGCATGCACATGCGATGCACATCCATGCAGATCCATGCACATGCGATGCAGATCCATGCACATGCGATGCACGTCCATGCAGATCCATGCACATGCGATGCAGATCCATGCACATGCGATGCACGTCCATGCAGATCCATGCACATGCGATGCAGATCCATGCACATGCGATGCACGTCCATGCAGATCCATGCACATGCGATGCACATCCATGCAGATCCATGCACATGCGATGCAGATCCATGCACATGCGATGCAGATCCATGCACATGCAATGCACATCCATGCACATGCCATGCAGATCCATGCACATGTGATGCACGTCCATGCACATGCAAGGCATATCCATGCATATTAATGCACATCCGATGAACATCCATGCACATGCGATGCACGTCCATGCACATGCAATACACATCCATGCATATTCATGCACATCCATGCACATGCGATGCACATGCAATGCACATCCATGCACGTGATGCACGTCCATGCACATGCGATGCACATCCATGCATATTCATGCACATGCGATGCAATCCAGGCACATGCGATGCACGTCCATGCACATGCAATGCACGTGATGCACGTCCATGCATATTCATGCACATGCCATGCACTGCCATGCACATGCCATGCACGTCCATGCACATGCGATGCACATCCATGCAGATCCATGCACATGCCATGCACGTCCATGCACATGCGATGCACGTCCATGCACATGTGCAGAGACCCTTGCACCAGGGCGTGCAGTGGGGCTGTCACCTCCGTGTCCCCCCCGTCCCCTCTCCTGCAGCAGCCTGTGGCTCTCTGCACAGCCCTGTGCACTTGGCCCAGTGGGCACTGGGAGCCACTGGGAGTTACTGGGAGCACCGAGCACCCCCTTGTGGCACTCACCCTCCTGCCCTCAACTGCCACCGGCCTCCCCCACGGGGGACAGAGGGACCCTGGGGACATCCGGGGGGGGGGGGGGTGTTAGGTGACCCTGGGGACACCCCTGAGGCTCCGGTGGGTGCCTGGGGGGCCCAGGGGTGCGGGCTCAGGGTGACCCCTGGTGGCACTGCGCGGCGTGGCACCCAGGTCCCGCGGGTGCCCCAAGTGGGTGCCGCAGCCCCGGGGGCATGAGCGGGTCCCCAGATCGTGTCCCTGCGGGGTGACAGCACCCTCAGGGGGCGACCAAATCCCCTGCAAGGTGCCGCTGTCCCCAGGGTGCTGCCCATGTCCCCAATGGGGTTACCACGGTCCCAAGGGGTCAACCGTGTCCCCATCCCGAGGAGGGTGACCGCGTCCCCAGGGGGGCTGTGGGGGAGTCCCCGGCTGTGACAAAGAGGCAGAGCCAGGTAACAGTGCTCCAGTTTATTTACAGGCTCTGGGGCGGGAGGTGCCGTCCCCCTCCCCATGCGGGCGCAGGCACTGGGGTCCCACCCCGGAGACCAAAGACCGTACAAATAAATACAACCAGAAGGGAAGGGTCTGCTGGTAAATCTTGTCCAGTAGCTCCCGGTGCCATCCCCCGGTACTCCCGCAAGGAGGCTGCCTCTGCCACCAGGCGCTGGGGGGCCCTGCAGCAGGAAAGGTCCCTTGAAAGAGAGAAGGAAAGGACACCACGTCCCAGCCCTCCCCACATCCCTGGGTCCCCACCCCTATGCGCAGCAGGGGCTGGGTGCCGGGGTGTCCCGGGATCCCCGTGGCCGTCATCACCACGTCGCAGCCCCGGTGTCCCCAGCATCACAGCGTGAAGATCTCATCCTCTGCATCGCGGAGCGCGGCCGCCCGGGGGGTCCTGGTGAGGGGCCTGGGGCCGAGGCGGGGGCCCTGGGGGGCCGTTGGGGCCCTGGCCTCCGGGCTCTGAGTGCCTTCAACCTGCGCTGCGCTGCAGGGGTGCAGGGGGGGGCACTGAGGGGGTGGCCTTGCCCCCTGTGGACAAACCCCCTCCCACAAGAGCCCGGTTACCCCCTAAAGGGGTCGGGGCCGGGGGGGCTCACCCGGTGCTGCCGGTGCGGAGCCGCTGCGCTGCCACTGCCGCCGCCGCTGCCGCCTTGGAGCGCCCGATCTCGGCATCGAGCTGCTGCAGGAAAGCGGTGGCCGAGAGGTCGTGGCGGGGCACGGCGGGGGCAGCCGGGGCACCCCCCGACGGGGCGGGCGCGTCCTTGTCCTCGGGGCAGGGTCCCCTCGGCTGCCCCGGCACGGGGATGAGCAGGGTGGGCTTGAGGAAGATGGTGTCCGAGGTGTAGAGGCGGTTGGCGCGCTTGATCTGCTCCATCTGCCGGGGCGGGGTAAGGGTGGAGATGGGGACAAGGGCAAGGATGGGATGGGGACAGGGATAAGGATGGGATGGGGATAAGGACAAGGATGGGGATGAGAACAGGGGTAAGGATGGGATGGGGACAAGGGCAAGGAAGGGATGGGGACAGGGGTAAGGATGGGATGGGGACAAGGACAAGGATGGGATGTGGACAGGGGTGAGGATGGGATGAGGACAAGGATGGGATGAGAACAGGGTAAGGAAGGGATGGGAGCAAGGGCAAGGATGGGATGAGAACAGGGGTAAAGATGGGATGGGGACAAGGATGGGATGAGAACAGGGGTAAAGATGGGATGGGGACAAGGATGGGATGAGAACAGGGTAAGGATGGGATGGGGACAAGGATAAGGGCGGGATGGGGACAAGGGCAGTGAACAGGACAGGGGGGAGGCAGCGATGGCCCCTTTGGGTCGGGGCCCCTTCTGCCCCCCTCCGGCCCCCGGGCACCCGCACGGCGCTCACCGTCACCCCGTAGCGCAGCGCCAGCCCCGGCAGCGTGTCCCCGGGCTGCAGGCGGTGCTCCCGGGCCGAGGCTCCCGGGGCCCCGCTCCCCGCCGCCATGGCCGGACGGCCCCGCTCCGCTCCGCCCGCGCTCCCTCCGTCCCCGGGGGCTCATGGAACAGCCCCGGTCCGGGCTGCGGCCGCCGCTCACGGGGGCAGGCCCGGCCCCACCGCTGCCACCGGGCGCCCTCCGGGCCCCGGTGAAGGCAGAGACGCCATGGCCCGGCCCGGCCCGGTCCGGCCGCCCTCGCGGAGGCCTCTGGGAGTTGTAGTTCGAGACGAAGCCGGGGACCTCCGCCGCGCCTCGGGGGGTGGCGCCGCTGCCCTCACCCCCACCCCGGGGTCCTCCCCGCACCCCCGGGCCTGAACCCGCCCGCTCCCTGGCCCCGGGGGGGCGCGGGTCTAACCCAGACCCCCCCGGGGGACGCGCGGCGGAACTACAACTCCCATCATGCCTCGGGGCCGCTGCCGCCCCCTCCCGCGCTCTCATTGGCTGTCGCGCCCGCGCGGAGCCTGCCGGGAGGAGCCCCCCGGCCCCGGAAGCGGGGCGAGGGGAGCGCGGTTCCCATAGCAACCGCCGGCCGCCGCCATGTCCTTCAAGCGGGAAGGCGACGACCCCGCGGAGCTCGGGGTGCTGCAGGTGAGCCCCGGGCACCCCGGGACCGGCCGCAGCTTCCCCGCATGCACCCCCCGCTTCCCCGCCCCTTCCCCGGCCCCCTCAGCCCCGGCTTGGCCTTGCCCCCCCCCTCAAGGTTCCCCCCGCCGGGCCCCGAAGCCCCTCCTCGGCCTTCGCTGCTCCCCGGCATTGCCCCGTCCCTGGACCCAAACTCCCCCTTCCCGACCCCCGTGCTCCTTCAGAACGGGGTCTCCAGGGTGCCAGCGCCTAAGGGGGGACGGGGCTGGGAGGCCGGGGGGGGTGTCCCAGCAGCAGGGACGGAGCGGGGCAGGGCGGGTGCTCACCCCCTCCCCACCACGGCCCCCCCCAGAAGAGACGCGTTGCAGACCTCTTGGCCAGCTACATCCCCGAGGAGGAGGCGCTGCTGCTGAGGAGCGGGAGGTGGGTGCCCCCCCCCCCCCCAGCACACCCCCCCCCAAGGTGCTGTGTGGTGCTGAACCCCCCCCCGGCACAGGTACGCCTGCACCGTGTGCGCCCATCGCCCCGTCTTCGACACGCTGGACGTGCTGAGCGTGCACAGGGCTGGCAGGAAGCACAGGAGCAGTAAGTGGGGGCCAGCGCGGGGGGGGGGGTGAGCAACAACGTCCCTGTCTGTCCCGTGTCCGTCCCCCCCCCATTCCTTTTGCTCTCTTTCAGGCCTGCAGCGCTTCTATGGCAGGAAGGGCTCGGGTGAGGACACGGCGCAGAAGCTGCAGCCCAAGGAAGAGGTGCAGGCAGAGGTTGGTGGGGGTGACCCTTATATAGACCCCCTCCCAAGCCAGCCCCTTCCTGAGCTCTGCTTCCTCCCCCCAGGGCTCCCCAGCCCCTCTTCTGGCACGGACAAGGAGGATTGCCCAGAGTGCTCTGCTGAAAGCAGCTCCCTACAGCAGCTGCTGCCGGAGGACGGGGTGAGCTTTCACTGCTGGAGATGGAGAAGGGATTGAGAGCAGCCCTGAGGAGGCCTTGGGGGTGTTGGTTGATGAGAAACTGAACATGAGCCGGGTTCAGTGTGCACTCAAAGCCCAGAAACCAACCGTGTCCTGGGCTGCATCCAAAGGAGTGTGACCAGCAGGTCATGGAGGTGATCCTGCCCCTCTGCTCTGCTCTTGTGAGACCTCACCTGGAGCATTGTGTGCGGTTCTGGGGTCCTCAGCACACAGAGGACGTGGAACTGTTGGAACAAGTCCAGAGGAGGCCACGAGGATGAGCAGGGGCTGGAGCAGCTCCTGTATGGAGACAGGCTGAGGAAGTTGGGGCTGTTCAGCCTGGAGAAGAGAAGCTGCGGGGAGACCTCAGAGCAGCTTCCAGTGTCTGAAGGGGGCCTATAGGGATGCTGGGGAGGGACTCTTCATTAGGGACTGCAGTGACAGGACAAGGGGTAACGGGTTCAAACTGAAACAGGGGAAGTTTAGATTGGATCTAAGGAGGAAATTCTTCCCTGTGAGGGTGGTAAGGCACTGGAATGGGTTGCCCAGGGAGGTTGTGAATGCTCCATCCCTGGCAGTGTTCAAGGCCAGGTTGGACAGAGCCTTGGGTGCCCTGGTTTAGTGTGAGGTGTCCCTGCCCATGGCAGGGGGTTGGAACTGGGTGCTCTCAAGGTCCTTTCCAACCCAAACCATTCCATGATTCTATGCAGGAAAGCTCTGGGCTTCCTTGGTGGGGGGACTGTGGCCTCGCTGCTGTTGGGCCCTCGTGGGACGAGGCCCTGACTCCTTCTCCCATCACAGGGTGGAGGGAAGCAGCTCACGAGCTTGGACGGGGCCGAGTGCTGCCCCGGCGCTGCCAGAGCCGTCACAGAAGGAAGGAGAAGCTGTTGTCAGCAGCACTGCAGCTGTGCTGCTGGGGCACCGTGGTGGGCAAGCAGGTAAGAGCCAGGCAGCAGCTCTGGGGCTGCACGGCCTTGGGCTCTGCGGCTCCCCACAGCCCCTCTCTGCCCTCCCAGACCCCGTGAAGGTGACGCCCGGCCGCAGAAACAAAGCTTCCTCAGCCCCGGGGCAGCCCAAAGCCCTCAGCCCCGAGAGGCGCCAGGCGCTGGAGCAGTACCTGAGGCTGCGGAGGTGAGCGCCGGCCCCGCTGGCCCCTAGGCGGAGCCTGGCAGCCCGGAGCTGCCCTCACTGTGTCCGTCCCCAGCGCCGGCTGGATCCGGGACCGCTCGGGCAAGTGGGTGAAGGACGAGAACGCTGAATTCGACTCCGACGAGGAGGAGCCGCCCCTGCTGCTGCCGGCGTGAGCCCCCCCCCAACCCCTGCCCCAGCGCTCCCCATGGGCACGGCTCCCCCCCCCCCTCCCCACGCTGTCCCCAGGAGGTGCCTGAGCCTCTGGGGCAGGTCCTGGCACTCCAAGGGCTTTGCTGGCACCTGGACTCAACGTGGTGCCCTCGCCGGGTGTCCCCATCCTGGCCAGAGCCCTGCAGGCGCCACCAGCCCAGCCGTGGGCTTTGGCCTGGCCCTGCCCCATCCCCTCCTGGCCCTGGCACAAGTCCTGCTCATTTTCTCACACGCTGGCAGCTGCCTGTGGGTCGTGGCCTTTTTGGGGCAGCAGCGCCGGGTTCACCCCGTCCCCAGCCCCAGCAGCTGTCCCGGTGCTTCGGGGAGTGCCAGCGCCCGCTGCCCTCCCCCTGTCCTGCTGGGGTTTGGGTGTCTGCTGTGCGCCTATGGGACCGTCCTGCATGGGGCTGAGCGTCCACGGCCCTGGGGCAGCAGCCATCACCCGCCCGAGGGTCCCTGTGGGGACGGGCCCTGTTCCTGGGGGTTTCCCTGCTGGCATTGCTCAGGGTGATGGTAGCTCCAGGCACCGGGATTTTCCCGTTCGCTCAGCTCCTGGCTATAAATAGGTGGTGGAACCTATAAATAGGCCCCGTGTGTGTTGTGTCCCCCCCCTCCCCAGCACCTCCCCAGGCCGTGGGTGCTCGGCTCTGTGCCAGGGGGGTGCCTCTTGCCCGCCCCGGGAGTTGCCCTGATCCCTGCACCCCTCCTGGGCTCAGTCCTCCAGGTGTCAGTGCCCTGACCTGAAGGGATCCAGGATCCCCTGTGCAATGACAGCCAGAGGCTAACAAGGGCCTCGAGCCCTGCAAGAGAGGGGTGCCCCTGCTGCCCCCCCCCCCCATTGCCCTCCCTCAGCCCATCCCAGCCCTACGCACAAATCCTGCCTGGGATGCATCCGAGTGGATCCCAAGGCCGTGCCTCTCCAGCCTCTTTATTTACAGCGGGGAGCAGGAGCTGTGAAGCCCGTTCCTGCCACCTTAGGTTTTCTTCTGCTTGCGCCCTGGGGGCAGAGGGAAGAAGGAGGGGTCAGGACCATGCTCCCCCCCCCTCCCCTCCCTGCCCCACTGCCGTTGCTGCCCCGGGGGCAGGCAGGGGACACTCACGGAGCTCGTTGTTGTTGGTGATGGCGATGGCAGCACGGGCACGGGGACCTTGCTGGGTGAAGTGGTAGCCAAAGCGCACGACGGAGGGGCACTGCTCCAGCATGGTGGCCATCTCCATCTCCACTGTGTCACCCAGGCGCTGGCACTGTGGGGCCAGAGTGACGCCAGGCACACTGAGACGCTGGGGACACCCCTGTCCCCTCCCTGGGCTACCCCACGGCTGCCTGTTCCTACCTGGTTGTCCACCTTGAGCTCACTAAGGGTGGTGTTGTGGTACATGGCCTTGATGATGCTCATCATGCCAGCGCTGGTGATGAAGTTGGATTCGATGTTGAGGCTCTGGAGGGTCTTGTTCTCCATCAGCATCTCGGCCACGGCCTGTGTGTCACCTCAGGGTGTCACCTCGGGGTGGCACCCCCCATCTGGCATGTCCTGGGCCACCGATGCCCCAGGTGACGGTGGAAAAGCCACCGGTACCTGGCCTCGTCGGTGCCCAGGATGGAAACCAGGGCAGGGGATGTGTGGGGACACGGGGCTGGGACTCACACTGGCCACGGGGTCGTTGCTGCGGGTGGCTACCAGGCTGAGCTTCTTGACGTGGGTGTTGGTTTTCATGGCCTCACAGATGGCTTTCAGCGTGGAGATAGGAATGTCCTGCAGCAAGGGGGTGTGCGTGGCACCAAGGGGATGGGGACATCCCCAAGGATGCAGGATGGCACCGAGGGGGTGTCAGTGGCATTGAGGGGGTATTGATGTCTCTGAGGGTACAGGGGCATCCCCAGGAAGGTGCTGGATGTCACCCCAGGGATGTAAGTAGCACAGAGGGGATGTGGGATGGCACCTAAAGGGACATGGATGCCCCTGGATGAGGACCAGTGCCCTGCGACAGGGACCAGCCCCACGGGGACACGCCAAGCCCAGGCCTAGCGCCCTGGGGACAGCTTGGGGACGCTGCCCCCAATGTCCTTCACCTTGATGTTGTTGAGGTTGACGTCCTCCAGAGCCCCGTCGTTGGCCTGGATCTGCCGCAGCGTCTCCTCCACGTTGGTGGGATTCGGGGGCTCGTCCGGCACTGGCTTGTACGTGTCAGGCTTCACCACGCCTGGGGCACACGCGTGTGCGTGGGGGGACACGGGACCGCGCACGGGGGCACAGGCACACAGCCCCACGTGGGCATGGGGCCGGCACAGGGGGTCCCAGAGGGGTTCTGATCCCCGCATCCCCCACTGAGCAGCCCCATGGACCCTCTGCCCCCCATCCTGGGGGAGGTCCCCCCCTTTCCCCGTGGGCCGTGTCCCCAGCGCACTCACTGTTGATGCCCTCCGTGTTGGAGATGGTCCCGCTGCAGATCGCGTCGTAGTACTGCTTGTTGCTCATCAGCGTGTACATGCCCAGGATGGCTGCGGGGCCGGGGGGGTGTCACTGGGTGCCCCAGTCCCCCCGTCCCCCCCCAGTGTGCCTGGAGGGGGCCAGGGCAAGCGCATGACACCAGCCCTGGGCACCGCTGCTCCCGGTGCAATGTGCAAGGCTGCTGGGGGCCCTGCTGGGGGCCCCAGTCCCCTGGGTGAGGGTGACAGGCGAGGGGCAGCCTCGTGTGAGGCTGCGGGGTGAGGAGGCTGCCTCGTGCAAGGCTGTTAATGCGGCCCCATGCAAGGTTGTGGTGTGATGGGGCAGCCCCATGCAAGGTTATTAATGCAGCCACATGCAAGGTTGTGGTGTGGTGGGGCAGCCCCATGCAAGGTTGTGGTGTGGTGGGGCAGCCCCATGCAAGGTTGTGGTGTGATGGGGCAGCCCCATGCAAGGCTGTTAATGCGGCCCCATGCAAGGTTGTGGTGTGATGGGGCAGCCACATGCAAGGTTGTTAATGCAGCCACATGCAAGGTTGTGGTGGGATGGGGCAGCCCCATGCAAGGTTGTGGTGTGGTGGGGCAGCCCCATGCAAGGTTGTGGTGTGATGGGGCAGCCACATGCAAGGTTGTTAATGCAGCCACATGCAAGGTTGTGGTGGGATGGGGCAGCCCCATGCAAGGTTGTGGTGTGGTGGGGCAGCCCCATGCAAGGTTGTGGTGTGATGGGGCAGCCCCATACAAGGTTGTTAATGCAGCCCCATGCAAGGTTGTGGTGTGGTGGGGCAGCCACATGCAAGGTTGTGGTGTGATGGGGCAGCCCCATGCAAGGTTGTTAATGCAGCCACATGCAAGGTTGTGGTGGGATGGGGCAGCCCCATACAAGGTTGTTAATGCAGCCACATGCAAGGTTGTGGTGGGATGGGGCAGCCCCATGCAAGGTTGTGGTGTGGTGGGGCAGCCACATGCAAGGTTATGGTGTGATGCAGCAGCCCCATGCAAGGCAATGGTGCCATGCAGCAGCCCCATGCAAGGTCATGGTACCATGCAGCAGCCCCATGCGAGGCAGTGTGCAATGGGGCAGCCCCATGCAAGGCAATGGTGCCATGCAGCAGCCCCATGCAAGGTTATGGTGCGATGTGAAGGTTATGGTGCGATGTGGCAGCCCCATGCAAGGCAGTGGTGCGATGGGGCAGCCCCATGCAAGGTTATGGTGCGATGTGAAGGTTATGGTGCAACGTGGCAGCCCCATGCATGGCTGTGGTGTGATGCAGCAGCCCCATGCATGGCTGTGGTGTGATGCAGCGGCCCCATGCATGGCTGTGGTGTGATGCAGCAGCCCCATGCAGGGTTGCGGTGTGATGCAGCAGCCCCATGCAGGGTTGCGGTGTGATGCAGCAGCCCCATGCAGGGTTGCGGTGTGATGCAGCAGCCCCATGCAAGGCAATGGTGCGATGGGGCAGCCCCGCTCCAGACCCACCGGCGATGTCGCACATCTCGGCCTCGGTGGCGTTGGCCAGGGCCTCCTCCAGCTCGGGCTCCAGCGTGATCTGCTCCTCCCGCGGGATCTCCCGCGTTGGGTTCTTGGGCACAAAGGGCTTCCCTGCGTGCGGGGCCGCGGTCACTCCCTGCCCAGCCCCACTGCAGCCGGGACAACGCAGCCATGGCCTGGGGGGCCGGGGCTGGCAGGGCCAGGGGAGCACAGGGCCAATGCCCTTGGGTGCCCTGGGCCAGGGCTGATGCTCCGTGGGGTTCGGGTGACGGTAGCGGAGGGGTGATGTTACCGGGGGTGTCACTGCCAGGGGTGGCTGTGCTGGAAGGGGAGGGGGGGACATTGCAAGGGGTGGCCATAGTTGGGGGGGGGGGGGTGACATTGCCAGGGGATGCCTGTGCCCGGGGCTGGCGGGGGCCCAGCTCGCCCAAGACACCCGAGCCGCTGGCGAGGACGGTTGTGCCAAGCTAAATATACCCGGTGCTGCGGGGCCCTGTCCCCCCCGGCCCCCCGCCAGGCTCCCCACCGTGTCCCTGCACCTTTCTTCTCGCCGGTGAAGGGCACCAGGTCCTGGCGCTCGCCAGCCTCCAGCGCCTGCTTCTCGAGGTGCTGCAGCAGAGCCTCGCGGTCCAGGGGTCCCGTCGGGCTCTTCTGCGTCTGGTCCCGCTGCCGCAGCCCCGCGGGCAGCAGCACGTTCTGGGGATGCACTGTGTCACCCGCAAGGGGGTCCCCGCAGCCGGGGGGGCACCCGCCCTGCTCAGCACCGCCACGCACCTCGGGGTCCATCTCCATCAGCTCCGTGTCCAGCTGCGCCAGCTCCTCGGCCGACAGCTCCCGCAGGATCTTGTCCTCGTCGATGTCCCGGTACTTCTCCAGCTCCTGCCGGTAGGACGTCATGGCGGGGGCTGCGGGCGGCCTGGTGGGAGGCGGGGGGACACGGCAGGGACCTGGGTGCCTGGTGGGGGGGCTCCTGGTGAGGTGCTGGGGATGCCCTGCGCTGCCAGGGGACCCCAGAGATCACAGCATCCCCGTCCGTGCCACAGCCTGCAGGGAGCCTGCGTGCCATGGGGTGGTATTGGCTTCCCATTGGGGGGGGGACATGGGGCACCCCAGGGTGGTGGCTTGGGGAGCTCATGGGGAAACCGAGTCACAGCTCCCAGTGGTTCCCAAGACCAGGAGCCAGTGTTCGTGCCCCCCCAGCCTCCTGCGCTGCATGGGGGGTCAATCACCAGCCCCAGTGCCCCTCTGCCCCCCAGCCTGGGTTCCCCCCAGCCCTCGGGGGGGGGGGGTGCAACAGGGGCAAACACTGAGGACATGAACCACGACCCCCCCCCCCCCCCAGCCCCGGGGGCAGCTTTCCCCAAAGGAACCTCATTGGGATTCTCCACCTGACACCGGGGACACGGACACGCACCCGGTGCCCCCGGGAGGGACCGAACGGGGAGCGGGGATCCCCCACAGCCCATGGGACCCCCGAACCGGTAGCGCTGGGGGGTGATGACCCTGACACCCCCCCTCTCCCCCCCATTGCAGACCCCAGTGCCTTTACCTGGTGCCTGGGGGGGTGGCAGCGCCTGCCTGGGTGCGAGCCCCGGTGCTGAGCGCAGGGCTCCGGGCGCGCAGGGCATGAGATCAGCGTTTTCTTGGGCCCGGCAGCGGGAGGGGCGGATCACGTATCCCCAGAGCCCCGGGCGCTATCGAGCCCTGCCAGCCCCGCGGCTCCACCCCGGAGCCCCGCCGCCACCGGGGCCTGCTCTTACCTTTGGGGTGCCCCGGGCAGGGTGACCGGGAAGGCTGGGGGGGGGGGAAGAGGCCGAACTTCATGCGTGGGGCCCCACAGTCCCTTGGAGACCCCCAAGCCTCACCCCGGGGTATTTTATGCCTTCTTTACCCCAAGACCATGGGAGTGACTTGGCTCTTGCACAGCCCCAGGCCCCTGAATCCCATTCAAGGGGGTGCATGGGGCCACCGTCACTGGGGCTTCCCATGGCAGTGCTGCACTCGAACACACTGCTTGTTTATTGTAGGGTCCCTCAGAAAACAAGCGGTTGTAGGCACCCCGTGTTTATTGTAGGGTCTCTCCAATAACAAGGGGCTGTACGCACCCCGTGTTTATTGTAGGGTCTCTCCAATAACAAGGGGTTGAACGCACCCCATGCTTATTGTAGGGTCTCTCCAATAACAAGGGGCTGTACGCATCTCGTGTTTATTGTAGGGTCTCTCCAATAACAAGGGGCTGTACGCATCCCATGTTTATTGTAGGGTCTCTCAAATAAGAAGGGGTTGAACGCACCCCATGCTTATTGTAGGGTCTCTCCAATAACAAGGGGCTGTATGCATCCCGTGTTTATTGTAGGGTCTCTCCAATAACAAGGGGCTGTATGCATCCCACGTTTATTGTAGGGTCTCTCCAATAACAAGGGGTTGAACGCACCCCATGCTTATTGTAGGGTCTCTCCAATAACAAGGGGCTGTATGCATCCCACGTTTATTGTAGGGTCTCTCAAATGACAAGGGGTTGAACATACCCCACGTTTATTGTAGGGTCTCCTGGTGTTGCAGATGCTGAAATGGATGCGGGTTACTTGGATTTCTTTCTTTTCCCTATCAAAAACGGGAGGCAGGAGATAAATAGAGCGAGGAACCACTGCCCACGGAGGCGAGGCCGAGGAGCGGAGCCCTCAGCTCATGGGGACGCTCTGCTTGATGACGATCTTCTGGCGGGTGGGCCGGGCGCCGGGGTCGGGACCGGGGGCAGCAGCGGCCCCCAGGGCGGCGGAGGCAGCGGCGCTGGGCAGCCCGTGCGCCGTGATGTACTTCTTGTAGGCCTCCCGGATGATTTTGAAGGCGCGGATGTTGGAGTAGGGGATGTCGGTGATGGGGTCCCGGTACACGGCCGGTTTGTGGGTCACGGGGCAGATCTCCCGCACCGGCAGCCGCGGCGGCTTCGCTTTGGGGAAGAAGCGCTCGAAGGTTTCATCGTCGCTGAAGGAGATGAAGGTGCGGGAGCACTTCCCGGCGGAAGCGGGAGCCGGGGTCGGAGCTGCTTCCGTCTGCTGGGGGTCTTGGTCCAGCCTGGAGAAAGCCCTGGGATGAGGGGAAGCCACGAGCAGGCAGAGCCACCAAATCTGCCCAAGTCTCCCCCCCACCAGGACTGTGGGGCACTGCCCAGAGCCTGCTTATCCCTCCCCACCCCAGAGGGGTAGGAGCAGGGTTGGGTGAAGACGCCAGCAGGGTGAGCCCAACCTACCCCTCCACGTCCACGTTCTCCTCCTTGCCGGGCTCTGGCACCAGGGGCATGGTGACGGACCAGTACCGGATAACGGGCCCCACGCACTTCCTCTTCTTCTGAACCTGCTTCTTCTTGTCAGCCTCCAGGCGCTCGTAGTTCTCTGTGCAAGCAGCGACCAAGGGAAGGGGAAGCTCAGCCCCCAGCGGCTTCCCCCCACCCCACCAGCAGCCCCTCTGCCCACAGCAGCAGCGCCGGGGCCGTGTGCGCCTCACCCAGGGAGCGCAGGTTGATCTCCTCCGTGATCTTGGCCTCCTCCAGCAGCTCCTCCTGGGTCAGCGGCCGCTCGTAGTTGGGGCCTCCCTTCTTGCGCTTGGACTGCACCTGCCGCTCCTGGATGCGCAGGAACGTTTGGCGCGTGTGCTCCGTCGTCGACTGCCGCATGTGCTTCCGGCCTGCGGCACCGCAATGGAGCTCACCGGCAGCCACACCGGGACACCCCCCCCCCACACACCCCAAACACACACTCACTGTCTCCCAGCTCCTCCTGCAGCTCCAAGGGCACAGCCTTCACCTCTCGGGGCTTCTGGGAGCTGCCGCTGGGGACGTCGAGCTTCTTGGGGCGAAGGCTCTTGAGGGGCTCCTGTGGGATGGAGCAGAGGAGGTGAGGATGGGGAGCCCCCCCCAATGGCTGCGGCTTTGGAGCTCACCGGCAGCGCACCCCCTCCCCTTCGCACCCGGTACGCCTTGGTGACGACGCGGCGGCGGCGCTTGGGCTCGCTCTCATCCTGGTCGCTCGTGGGCTCCTCGCCCTCGTCGATGTCGAAGTCGGAGTCCACCTCGTCATCGCTGTCGGACTGGTCCCCCCGGTACTCGTCATCGCCGGACTCCTGCGGGGAACAGAGCGGCCGCGTCACGGCCCCATCGCCGCGGGGCTCGGGCAGCGCCTCCAATGCCCCCCCCCTTCCCTCCCCCGGGTCCCGCACCTCGGTGAAGCCGCCGTACGTGGTCTGGTAGAACTCGTCCTCCTCCTCGGCCTCCAGCAGCCCCGATAACCGGTTACCGGCCGTGCGCCGCGGGGCTCGGCCCTCCGCCAGGCTCATCGCGCCGCCGCGATCGGCGCTCCCCTGCGCGGCCTGCGGGGCCCGGCGGGCGGAGCGAGCGCCGAGCGGCCGATGGCGGCGGGCGCCCCCCCGCGGCCCGGAGGTTCCCGTGGGCTGGGCCGGAGCGGTACCGGCGTGACGTCACGCGGCCGTGACGTCACGGGATCTCCCCGCCGCCACGTCGAGGCCCCCCGGGAGAGCGAAGATGGGGAAATGACGTCACGCGTGACGTAACAGCACCCCACGTGCACCCCGCGCTTTGTTTGGGCCGCGCGGGGCCCCCGGCAGGGCTGTGCGCATGCGCGCTGAGCGCTCCTTCATTCCCCCCCCCCCCGCCCGCCGTGGTCGCGTCCGCAGGGGCGAATCCAAGTGGTGGGGGGGGTGTGTGTGCGTCAGCAACCTGGAGCGCGCATGCGCTCTGCGCGCCGCTGCCGCGTGTTCCCCCCTCGCCACTCGCGGCCGGATGGTGCGGTCCGGGCCCGAGGGGCGGGGCTTAGCGAGGGTGGGCGGGGCCTGGCGGGGAGGGCCGGCGGGCGGGGTAGGGGGGGTGGGGGGGGGAAGCGGTCCAAGATGGCGGCGGCGGCGGGGCCGGAGTCGGGCGGGAGCAGCGGCAGCAGCGGAGGCCTGGGCGGTAGGGACCGGGTGTGGGGGCAGCGCGGAGGGGTCGGGGCTGAGGCGGCGGGTGCGCGGTGAGAGCCCCATGGGGGCACGCGGGGGGGCTCCGGACCCCATGGGGCAGAGGCCGCTGTGGGGAGGGGATGGGGACTGCGTTAGCGGGGGCTGTGCTGTGGGGCAGGGGGAGACCTGACCCTGCTTGTGGGGGGAACGGGGCCCGGATCCGGGCTCAGCCGCGGGGGGACGGAGGGATGGGGGCGGCCCAAAGAGCTCCTCGAGGCCGGGCTGTGCTGGGCCCGGAGGCGGCTCCCGGCGGGGAGGCGAGGTCGCGGCCGTGCGAAGCCCGCGTGGTCGGGTCCGGGCTGGAGCCGGGAGGAGTCAAGGGAGAGGCCTTGAGGGGCCCCACCGGGACCCGGGCCCGGGCGCTGCCCTCGTCCCTGCAGGGCGATGGTCACGGGCGGTGGGGCAAGAGGGGGCACTCGTGGGCCTTCAACCCGGAGCTGCCGCTTCACAGCGTTCCTGGGGGGCTCGGGGCCGGGTTCCCTTTTCCCGCAGGCCCCAGAGCAGCTCCTTCCCCCTGGTTTGGGGGCTGGGAACCCACCCGGCTTTCTCAGAGCCTCGGCGGTTGCATTGGGCCAAATCCAGGTATTCCTGAGCGCTGGAGTGAGCAAATCCCGGCCTTTCACTGCCCTGCAACTGATGGAGGCTGCCCCGGCACCCCCGGCCCAGCAGGGAGAGAAGAAACCGGGGGGCTGAAGGCAGCGTCCTTGGGGCTGGAGCTGCTTTACCTCTGCTTACGTGTGCGGGAGGCCGGACCTGTCGGTCCCATAGAGCCGGTTTGGGAGGAGGAAGAGGAGCGTTGGCTTCCCATGGCTGCTGCGTCCAGGGGCAGGACCCCGGCGGCTTTTCCTGTTGCTCTGGGCCTTCCTTAGGGCTCTTCCCCTTCCTGTGAGCTGAGGAGGAGTTGGCTTCAAAGAGCTTGAAGGGCTTCAAGAGCAAGCATGCGACAGGAGGGATCCTGCCGAGGTGCTGGAGGGGCTCGGGCGCCAGAGCGCTGCGGGACAGAGGGGGCCTGGATCGTGTTGGGGATGTGGGGTTTTGCTTTGTTCTATGGGAGACTGAATCACCTGCAGTGACAGGACAAGGGGTGACGGGTTCAGACTGAAACACGGGAGGTTCAGATTGGATCTAAGGAGGAAATTCTTCCCTGTGAGGGTGCTGAGGCACTGGAATGGGTTGCCCAGGGAGGTTGTGAATGCTCCATCCCTGGCGGTGTTCAAGGCCAGGTTGGACAGAGCCTTGGGTGCCCTGGTTTAGTGTGAGGTGTCCCTGCCCATGGCAGGGGGTTGGAACTGGATGATCTCGGGGTTCTTTCCAACCCAAACCATTCCATGGTTCCACCTCAAGTCCTGCCATGGCGTTTTGGAGCGCTGTCGCCCTCTGATCCAGGGTGCAGTTTGCCCCATGGGGCTGGCACTGGTGCCTGCAGCCTGGGTGAAGGGGATGTGGACGCTCTCCCTGCTTCCATGCGTATTTAATGTCCTGGGGAGGCAGCCAACGAGGTTTTATTTTGCTGCTTTTGCTTTGAAGCAGCCATGTGCCAAAACCTGGGGGATTTTGGTGCTTTGGGGGCTGCAGCTCCTTTATCCTGAGGGTGTTGAGAGCCCCTTGTCACCCCATTGTCACCCCATTGTCACCCCATTGTCACCCCATTGTCACCCCATTGTCACCCCATTGTCACCCCATTGTCACCTCATCACCCTGCTGTCATTGTCCCCTTCTTGTCATCCCATCACCCCTTTTTCACCCCTTGTCACCCCGTTGTCGTTGTCACCCAGTTGTTGTCACCCCTTCACCCCCTCGTCGTGGTTGTCACCCGGTTGTCGTCGTTGTCACCCCATCATCATTGTTGTCACCCGGGCTTCAGGCCCCTCCCTGGGGCCCACAGACAAAAGAATTGCCCTCAGAATGGATCAGTCCCTCCTGGGCCCAGGGGACTCATCCCAAGAGCGAGGTGAGCGCAGGCCCTGAGCTGCTGAGCCCTTCCTGCTGCTCAGCACCCAGAAAGGGCTGGCCCCCGAGTTTGGCACCATCCCAACGGCCCTTCCTTCCCAGCCCCCAGCTCTGGGTGTCATCACCTGGGTCCTGCCTCCGGCTCCCGCTGTCCCCTCTGGGGGCCCTTGGGTGCTGTGCTGGCGCGTGGTGCTCCCCGCGGCACGCTGCTCCTCCTTCCCCCTGCCTCGTGGTGCAAGGGGCTGCTCAGGGCTTATTCCAAGCCCTGCAGGCCTGGGGAGCTCCCTGCTCCAGGACCAGGGCCTCCTCTTCAGCGTTGCGCTGAGGTTTGCCCTTTCTCGGTTACTGGGTGAGAGCAGTGATTAAACGCGTTCGCTCCCCGTATCCCTGCGGATTCTGCCTTGTTTAAACAGCAGGCCGTTCCCAAGGCAGGAAGGATGTCTTTACACCTGACCTGGATCTCCCTCCTCTGGGAAGGGGGTGTTTGTCTTGCCCCTGATGCAGGTGTTGCAGCGGGCAGGGTGCTCATCCTGGTGTCCCTGTTGCCCGCTTCCTCTGGGGCGGGTTTGGAGCTCCTCCGGCAGAGGGGCTTGGGGTTGTGTGCAGGCTGGGAGAGGACTGCTTGGAGCAGTTATCCATGGGCTTTGTGTCCCCAGAGCAGCTCCCCACAGCTCTAAAGCTGCACTTCCCATTCACTGGGAGGGTGTTGGTGTCTGGGTCTGCTTAAAGGTTAACTCATGCAAGCAGTCAGGAGCGAGGCAGAGACGTGGAATCCATCATCTGCAGCCAGTGGGAGGGTTGGTTTTCAAACCGCTGTGGGCAAGGAGGTTGCAGCCTTCGGTAGGTTACAGGGGCAGGAGTTGCCATCAAAAGTGCTCCTGCCCAGAAATGCCTTTCAGTCTGCCCCCTCTTCTGCAGGGCTAACCTCCTTCCTCCTCCCCCCAAGGTGGTTTTGCCGTGACCCATATGGCAAAGCAATAACAGGGATACTTGTGGCCAGCATCCTGCCTGCCTCGGCCGTGCCTCATTCCCAGCCTGCGCCCTGGGGCTGGAGGTGTTTGTGCTGCTCCTGCTCCCTGTGGGTTTGCACTTGTGGGGTGCTCTCGCTCCGCCGAGCAGCTCCATAGCAAGGACCAGAGCGCTCCTGTGGCTGCTGGGCTCTGGGTCCCTGCTGCTCCCTGGAGAGGGATGCTGGGGTTGGAGTCGGGAGCAGATGCTGCGGACCCATTGCTCGGTGGCCTTTTGTGTGCAAGGCTCCACCCTTTGGTCCTGCCATCTGCTCTCCATCCCTGGTGCTGAAGGCATCCCGTGCCTCGAGCTCCTTTCATTCCCTCCCAGGGGTTTTCCCTGAGTTTGGTGGGGTTTGTGTTCAGTGGAGGCTCTGCGTCGGGTGTCAGACGTGCTCCGTGCACGTCCAGACACGGGGGCTGCTGGTGCTCTTGTGACTGCTGTTCCTTGCTGTGCTGGGAAGGAAAACGTTCCTTTCCCCAGCCCCGGTGGGTTCTCTTGGGGTAGGATGGCAGCGCTCAAGGACACTGGAATGGCTGGGATGAACCCCAACAGTGGGGCCACAGTTTGAAGGGGAGGCAGCGCTTGTGTGCATGAGCTGTGCGATGGAGGGCAGCCCAGACCCCTCCGGGGGTCATTCTCAGCTCTGGGGAAGGCATTGGTGCTTGGTTTGGTTTTTAAGTGGCTTTAGGGGGGGTCGTGCCTGCCTGCAGAGCTCTCCTGGGGACACCGGGAATGCTGCTGACCTCGTGCATGGAAACCTCTGCACCGCGGGCTGCCCTCCTCCCGCAGGCTCTGTGCTGAGGAGAGGTTGAGGAAGGCTTTCTGCTGTCACCCCAGCAGCGTGTCCAGAAGCACCCGCATGACGCGGCAGAGATTGGGTCTCCCCCGGCCCTTTGCCCTGCCTGTCACCCGCCGGCTGGCACCAGCCGCCGAGCGCCCCATCCCGCGCCTCCATCCCCAGGCTCCTGAACCCGGGCGCAGGGGACAGGAGGGAGATGTGCTAATGCAGGGCAGTGCGTTCGGTCCTGTGGACGTCAGCTGCAGGCCTCCAACGGCCCCGAGCAGGAGCGTGCACCGGGCAAGGGCTCTTCGTCTGGCAGCTGAGCTCGCAGGCTCTCCTGTGGCTGCTTTGAGGCCTTTGCTTCAATGTCCTCAGTGGCCTTAACACAAGGTATTGGACCTCACCTGGAGCATCGTGTGCAGGTCTGGGGTCCTCAGCACACAGAGGACGTGGAACTGCTGGAACAAGTCCAGAGGAGGCCACGAGGATGCGCAGGGGCTGGAGCACCTCCTGTATGGAGACAGGCTGAGGAAGTTGGGGCTGTTCAGCCTGGAGAGGAGAAGCTGCGGGGAGACCTCAGAGCAGCTTCCAGTGTCTGAAGGGGGCCTATAGGGATGCTGGGGAGGGACTCTTCATTAGGGACTGCAGTGACAGGACAAGGGGTAACGGGTTCAAACTGAAACAGGGGAAGTTTAGATTGGATCTAAGGAGGAAATTCTTTCCTGTGAGGGTGCTGAGGCACTGGAATGGGTTGCCCAGGGAGGTTGTGAATGCTCCATCCCTGGCAGTGTTCAAGGCCAGGTTGGACAGAGCCTTGGGTGCCCTGGTTCAGTGTGAGGTGTCCCTGCCCATGGCAGGGGGTTGGAACTGGATGATCTCAAGGTCCTTTCCTACCCTAACTATTCTATGATTCTAACAGACCTGTTGATGCAGGGAATTTCACCATCATTCCTCACTGCTTGGCCTTCCAGCCCCGATCAAGTGCTCGTGAGTGCTTTATCTTGCTCTGGAGGGCCGTGGTGTGGGCTGGCAGGGGCACGCTGCCTGATCTCATGGGCTTTCATCCATCCCCAGCTGCCGTGATTCAGAGCATTGGCTCGGACTCCGCTCAGGCCACACTTCTGCAGTTTTCCATAAGGAAAGCCAATTCAATGTGTAGGCTTCCATCTTCCAGCGCCCTGGAAGAGGATTCTGCTGTGCACAGTGAAGGTGCCCCGCTCAGAAGTGTTTTGCTTGCAAAGTCTGGGCCTTAACTTGTGGAAACAGGGTTGGTGTCAGTGTTTCTTGCGGGAACCCTCTCCTGTTTCCTCGAGCCGCTGATCTCTCCGTTCCCCACGACTCCTCTGTAACCTTCTTGTTTCTCCTTGTGTAGATTTCAGCTTTCTGTGCTGCTCAGTGAAGTCCTTTCGAAGAGGTAGCTGTACTGCATCTGTGTGCTTCAGACAAGCATGCCTTCCCCCTGGCCAGTAACCAGAGTGCAGTTTTACTGCCTCAGCTTTTGAGGATTGACAACACTTGGTGTGTTCTGGGGTTGTTTCCCACTAAACAAGCTGCTGCCCTGCTCAACAAAAGCTGCTGTCCCATTGAAGCGTGTTGTGTAAGCGCTCTCCTGACCTCTCCCCAGCTCTGCGCAGCCCTGGGTGCCCCAGCAGGATTGTTCCAGAAGGGCTTTTTCTGCTTTGCTTTCTGCCTGCGCTGCACTTTGAAGGGAAGAAATCTCGCTGCTGTTCCCGTTCGGAGCCCCGGCCTTGGATTAGGGAAGGGAACTGATCCCAGCTGCCATCTGTGAGGGGGGCCAGCGGGGTGGGTGCGTCCATGGAGGCTCCAAGCAGGTAGAGTTTGGTGGGGGGCTCAGGCATGGGCTCGCACTGCCCCCTGTGTGCATGGGAGTGCTCTCACCAGCGGGGCCACCCCCTGCAGGCAGGGTCCAGGGGAGGGAGCAGGATGATCCTGGTTTCGAGCAGCAAGGGGACCCGTTGGCCCTGGCCGCTTGCTTCCCTGTGATGGGCGGCGGGGCCGAGCGTGCTGGCGCTGGGGTGATGCATCCTGGGGCTCAGCTTGCCCTGCTCCTTCCACACAGCTGAGCTTCGTGATGTGTGCGGGGCTGTGAACGTTTCCCCTTTGCCCTTTGGTCCAAGCCGGGAGGAGCAGCTGAAATCTGAGCACCTCTGCTTAGAAACAGAGCCAAGCGGGTATAGGGCTGCCCGTGCCGCAGCAGCATCCTCCTCTGCTATGGGGTGAGCGAGGAGCTCGCCCAAATGCCCTGCCAGGAAGTCCTTGTCCAAGCCTGACCAGGTGCCATTGCCGCAACTCCTTCGCTTGTTTTCCCAGCTCTCACGTCATGCTTGGTAAGCCTATACCGTCTGCTGCCCGCTGAAAATAATCCCGGGAGTCAAGGGCAGCAGCAAGCAGGAGCTATTTATTCAGGTTGAATCAGCTTCCAGTAAACAGCTCTGAGGAATGCCCCCAAAGTGCCCATAGGGATTGCTCCCGGAATCAGGAGACAAGGCAGCAAGCTTCTGGGATGGCCTGGGTTCAGTGTTGGACGGGGCTGATGGGTTCCCGTTGGCCGCAACGGGCTCTTTTAGGGGTGTCGGGCTGTTTTGTCGGTTGTCAGGATGGGAACTGTGGCCAATGCGTTCTTCCATTGGGAAGAGGCATTTAAAGGGATCCCCAAAGAGCTGTGAAATGATTCCACGTTGTTAACGCGTGCGCCCTCGCTTTTAACACCTTCCCTTCTCCAGGCACAGAGCTGCTGTTACAGAGCAGGCAAAAGAGGTGGAGGTAACGGGAACGGTTCCTTGTGGAAAGCTCGGGTTTGCTCTCTCTGACCTCAGCTCTTGGTGATGGGGAGGACTGGGGTTTGCAGGACAGGAGGATGCTCTGGAGCTGAGCAGACCCCATCATCCCCGTGCCACCCCCCCACCATGCACTGGGGGATGAAGAAGCGTTTGTAGCGTGGTCAGACAGGAATTGCCCATTTCCCCATCAGCAGCCCTGGAAAGCAGCGGGAGGGAGGGGAGCTTCCTGCTGCGGAAACCGGGCGCAGGCTGCGCTTTCCTTCCTTGTCCCGGGGGTGCTCCTTGTCCCTGCCCACATCCCCACGGGGAGGGCTGAGGAGGGAGGGGAAGGGGAGCTGGTGCTCTGCTGAGGTACTTGCGTCGTCCTCAGGCCACGCTTTGGGATGCTCTTCCCAGCAGGCTGCTTGGATGTTCCCGCTTTCAGTGCGTGTGGCCTGTGATTAAGGCACCGGGGAGGGTTTGCTGCTGGCTCCGCTGGCTGCAGAGCTTGGGTTGAATCCTTTTTTGCACAGGTGATTAACTACCAGCATAGTAAATCTCCAAGGCTACAGGACTGGTAGTGCTGCTTAAGTCATGGGGCTTTATAGAGGTTTCTGTTTTCATAATGACACGGAATTGCTTCAAACAAAGGCATAATTGCTATTGAGCACCTCTGTTGTGATGCCGGAGATGCCTCCTCCATCCCTGACCCTCCATGGGTCAGAAGCCTTGTGTCACGGTGATGGAGTCCCCCTTCAGCTGGAGATGCTCCCAAACCCGGGCCAGTGTCAAGGGCTGTGATTGATGAAGGGGGGCGAGGAAGAGGAGCGCTGCCTGTGAGCGGCTTCCAGTGCGAAGAGCAGTGTGTGTGGATGAACTCCCCTGTCTCCAAAGGGAGCCAGGGCTGGTGGTGGAAGGTGGAAGGTGCTGCTCTGGGCCGGCTCTGCTCAGCACCAGGGGTTTGTCACACGTTGCCTTCTGCTTGGCTCCCGTGGCGAGCGTTGAGATGAGGGCTTTGGTGGCGGGGACCCGGCTTGCTGTGGTCCTCTGGTTGAAACGCGGTGGTCGTTGATGACCTCCATTGCCAGGCAGCGATGAGGGAGCCCTGGGTGGGCCCAGCTCCAGGGTTGTGTTGCAGTGCTCAGTGTGGTGAAGCACTCGGTGGATGCGGGGGGAAGCGGCCCTTTGCCTGCTCTGTGAGATGGGTGAGGGCTTGCTTTGGCTGGGGGGGGCCTCCCCGCTTCTGTTGCTGTGGCTGAAACAGAACTGAAAAACACCTGGAAAACCTGGTCTGTTCTTGGGGGCTGGAGGCAGAAAGCACGGGGCTGGTCCATGGGGGTGCTGGTGGGGCAGGGGCATAGAACCGTGGAATGGTTTGGGTTGGAAAGGACCTGAAGATCATCCAGATCCAACCCCCTGCCATGGGCAGGGACACCTCACACTAAACCAGGGTACCCACGGCTCTGTCCAACCTGGCCTTGAACACCACCAGGGATGGAGCATTCACAACCTCCCTGGGCAACCCATTCCAGTGCCTCAGCACCCTCACAGGAAAGAATTTCCTCCTTAGATCCAATCTAAACTTCCCCTGTTTCAGTTTGAACCCGTTACCCCTTGTCCTGTCTCTACAAGGTCCCTGCATGGCAGCTCTTGGCCTCTCTGGGCTCGGTCTGCCTGGTGGATCTGTGGTGCAGACACACGGTAGAGGGCAGGGTCTGTACCAAAAACCCTCGGTAGGAATCGAGGCCTAAGAGGGAGGAGCTGGTCCATCACCTCCCGGTGCTGGCTAATGGATGGCAGTAACCCTGCAAAGCCACCCAAGCCCACTGAAGGGGGCTGATGCCCCCTCTGAAGGCACCAGCACACAGGTTATGTTCCTTAACTAAAAAGGACATGGAACTGTTGGAACAAGTCCAGAGGAGGCCACGAGGATGAGCAGGGGCTGGAGCAGCTCCTGTATGGAGACAGGCTGAGGAAGTTGGGGCTGTTCAGCCTGGAGAAGAGAAGCTGCGGGGAGACCTCAGAGCAGCTTCCAGTGTCTGAAGGGGGCTATAGGGATGCTGGGGAGGGACTCTTCATTAGGGACTGTAGTGACAGGACAAGGGGTAACGGGTTCAAACTGAAACAGGGGAGGTTTGGATTGGATCTAAGGAGGAAATTCTTTCCTGTGAGGGTGGTGAGGCACTGGAATGGGTTGCCCAGGGAGGTTGTGAATGCTCCATCCCTGGTGGTGTTCAAGGCCAGGTTGGACGGAGCCTTGGGTGCCCTGGTTTAGTGTGAGGTGTCCCTGCCCATGGCAGGGGGGTGGAACTGGATCATCCCAAGGTCCTTTCCAACCCGAACCATTCCATGGCTCTATGATTCTAAGTGAGTTTGGCTGCAGGCAGGCAGCAGAGCAGCGTTTCCTTGGGGCTCCCTGCCGGGAGAGGAGAAGCTGGGAGTGAGTCAGTGCTGGTTTGTGAGTCAGTGCTTTTGGGATGCAGAGCAGGCCCTGTGAGAGGCCGTTTGGGGCTGCGTAATCACTATGACCCCCTTCTGATTGTGCCTTTCTCCTTTTGGCAGGATCATCTACTTTCAAGAAGTCCCTCACCCCCGAGGTAAGGCTCTGACCAAGGCGCTTTGTTCCCTGACTGAGGCAAGGGAATCCTGGACCCACCTTCTCTTTTTCCAATCCCATTGGAGTCAGGAGCGAGCCAGGCTCCGAGCTGTGAGTGCTGCAGGTGCTCACTGGAGGAATGTGAGCGTTGCTCCTTCCCAAGGGAATCTCTGCTTAAAACCCAGCTTCTCCTGGGACCGAGCAGTTCTTGAGCCACCAAAACACCGCAGGGATGTGCTGCGAGCGGGAGCTTTTGACTGAGGAACAAACCCATCCGTGGTCTTGCATGGAGGTGTTTGTGATGAGATGGCCAGCCTCAAGCACATCGGGTTCACTCAGTCCTTTGGAGGTCCTTGGCTTTGAGCAGGGGGCACGTCGCAGGTTCCATCTGGGTTTTACATCCTTGCTTCTTACCTCTTCCCCCATCCCTAGATGCCAGGTGCTTCCGGGCAGCCAGGCTCACAGACCATAAGGAAAGGGCACAGAGGAGTGGACTCCACGGGTGAGACTACCTACAAAAAGGTGAGTTCCCTCTGGCGCTCATTTCCCTGCTGTTCTCCTCAGCAGGGTGTCCCATGAGGTTCCTGTTGGATGCTGGCTGACCCCTGGGACAGTCACTGAAGGCAACCCCAGGGGAAAGCAGCCAGAAGAGTGGAGCTGGGCTGCTCAGCTTCCCTTCTGCAGCCTCCTAAAGAGGGGATTGCTTTTAAACCCTCCCCATCAGCAACACTTCTGAGGCCTCTTCTGGCTTTTGGGTGCTTTCTGTGCTCTGTGGGCACAAGGGTTTCTGTAGCTCTTGTGGTATTGCTGGAATCTGCTTTACAAAGGGGAGATTGAGTGTTTCTAAAGAGCCTCTTAACGTGTGTGGATTGGGGATGCTGCTTCCTGTCTGGGAGGTTGGGCCAACATCCTCTGAAGCCAGGCTGACTTCGAGGTGTAGATGAAATGGGTAATGGCTCCAGAGGGGCACTTCAGGGCATCGTGGAAGCCAAGCTTCTGGTCCAATCTGGATGTGTCTCCGTGTGTCCATTGGGAGTCAGAGTGGGAGGGATTGCAGTAGTGTTTGTGATCCTGCCCTTTCTCCATCGCTGCCTTTTCCAGGGCTGGGAAGTTGGTTGTTAAAACACTTTGCCCTGTGAAGGTGATGGTGAGCACGCTATTGTGGGCCTGATAGAATGCTTGCGCCTTGGCAACCCGACCCTGTGGCTCTGTGTTCCCAAACAAGGCAGCATTGCTGTGCCCTGTTCTTTCTCAACCAGTTTTAAGCAGGGCAAGGTGAGCCGAGACCTGTTTGCGAGCATCTTGAGCCTTTAGAGGGCAGGGAATGAAAGCAGAATCAGTCCTGCTGAAGTAAATACCGGGTACAGCTCAAGTAGAAGAGGACATTAGCAACAAGGTGGAGTCACTGCCAGCTTTTGTTGCTTTCTCTGCAGGGAGCTGGGAGCAGGACTCTCGCTGCTGTGCTGACAAAGCCAGTGAAGTGGGGCAGATGCTCCCATTTGTTTTAAAGGTTTCATGGAGGATGTGCCTGGGGAAAGCACTTGGGATGTTTGTGGCCTGTGCTGCCAGATGCTTTGATCTAGGGCGATGTCTCCCATCTGGCAGGGCCTGGCCTTTGTTTAGCTGAAGGAAACAAACCCTGATGAGTTGGCTCCCGAGGCCTGGATCTCGTTCTGGGTCTCGTGGCTTTATGTACAAGCCAAGTGGAAGGTCCGTGAGCTGCAGTGCACAAATCCAAGGCTGCACCTGCTCTGCGGAGCTTGTACCTCCATGCTTCAGGACCTGCCAGGCCATAGCAACTCCAGGGTGTTGAGCACATCTCTGGGCTGCTGTGCTGCTGGTCAGAGCCTGGAGCACGTCTCAGTGCTCTGAGATGAGAGCAAGTGTTTCGCAGGCAGAAGAGGACTCGATGTGAGTCGCTGTTGCAGGAACACAGCCCTGCATTGTTCTTGGGTTCATGGCCTTGCTCCCTATCTAAGAATGCCAATGAACTCCTCAGGGTTAAAGAGCCACGACCCAGCAAGGGAGGCAGAGGCAAGGACGTGGCAGCACCAAAGAGAAGCATGCCTTGTGTGCTGGCCATGCCTGCCCTGTCCTGTAGAAGCCCTGAGTCTGTGCCCAAGCTGGGGAAGAGCAAGCTTCCAAGGGTATAGTTCCAAGATCAAGGTGGCAAGAAGTGTGCTTATTCATGGAGGCAGAAGGTAATCTGTCCCTGGAGATCTTCCCCCTCTGACTGCAGGACACGCAGGTGGGGCTATGAAATTCAGTCCTTTTTAGGGTTTTGAGGTTTCAGTTCACGTCCTTTATGGCTCCACCACCCAGAGCACAGGCATCAAGCAGGATGCTGTCAGGGATGTAGGGGTGTGATGCCAAAGTGATGTTAGTCAGTGAGAGAGAAATGACAGAAGCTGGAAGCAGTAGGTGTAAAATACCCCAGCTATAGCACTGGTTTAGAGTGGGGGCTCTCTTTTAACTCCTTTCCTTCCCATTTCCAGTCTGCTGCTCCATGTTGTCTAACTCCTTTTCTCTGCCCCTCCAGACAACATCATCTGCCTTGAAGGGTGCCATTCAGCTGGGCATTACACACACAGTTGGGAGCTTGAGCACCAAACCCGAAAGAGATGTTCTCATGCAAGACTTCTACGTAGTAGAAAGTATTTTCTTCCCCAGGTTGGTGCTTGCTTCCTTCTCTTTTCAGTGGGAGTGAGTAGGAACATCGGCTCCTAGCCCTGCTTGCACACGAGGGAGCCCCACCAAAGCAGGAGTGAGCACAGGACTCCTGTGTACAGACCAAGGCTGGCTCCTGCCTGGTTCTGCCTGAAGAGCCCTGGTTCTTCCCTCTCTGTGTCCATCACTGATGCTGTGAACCATGGCAGGCTTGCTGCTGGGTTTGCCTGCGTGTGTCCCGTTCTTGTGGGTGCTTTCCGGCCCTTGGGCGGGTTGGAAGCAGCTCCCCTGGAGGTGTTTGCACTTCCTTAAGCAGTGTTCCAAATGGCAATACCTGTGTGTGTGCTTCCCCCCTGCCCAGTGAAGGGAGCAACCTGACCCCAGCTCACCATTACAACGACTTCCGATTCAAAACCTACGCTCCAGTGGCCTTCCGCTATTTCCGGGAGCTGTTTGGGATCCGACCGGACGACTACCTGGTGAGCTGGGGGAGAGATTGAGAGCAGCCCTGAGGAGAAAGACTTGGGGGTGTTGGTTGATGAGAAACTGAACATGAGCCGGGTTCAGTGTGCACTCGCAGCCCAGAAACCAACCGTGTCCTGGGCTGCATCCAAAGGAGCGTGACCAGCAGTCATGGAGGTGATCCTGCCCCTCTGCTCTGCTCTCGTGAGACCTCACCTGGAGCATTGTGTGCGGTTCTGGGGTCCTCAACATAAAAAGGACATGGAACTGTTGGAACAAGTCCAGAGGAGGCCACGAGGATGAGCAGGGGCTGGAGCACCTCCTGTATGGAGACAGGCTGAGGAAGTTGGGGCTGTTCAGCCTGGAGAAGAGAAGCTGCGGGGAGACCTCAGAGCAGCTTCCAGTGTCTGAAGGGGGCCTATAGGGATGCTGGGGAGGGACTCTTCATTAGGGACTGCAGTGACAGGACAAGGGGTAACGGGTTCAAACTGAAACAGGGGAGGTTTGGATTGGATCTAAGGAGGAAATTCTTTCCTGTGAGGGTGCTGAGGCACTGGAATGGGTTGCCCAGGGAGGTTGTGAATGCTCCATCCCTGGCAGTGTTCAAGGCCAGGTTGGACAGAGCCTTGGTTTAGTGTGAGGTGTCCCTGCCCATGGCAGGGGGTTGGATCTGGATGATCTTCAGGTCCTTTCCAACCCAAACCATTCCATGATTCCATGATTGGTGCTCAGAGCAGGCTCCTGTTTGTGGCGTGCTCTGTGTGATGGGTGTCCTCCTCCCCTGCCTGAGCCGGGGGGTGCCGGGAGGCCCCGCGGGCAGGCTCTGGGAGCACAGCAGTGGATGCCGTTTGTGACCCTGGGGTTTGCCCCTGGCCGTGTTGGACAGGAAGAGCCTTCACACCCATGCTTCCTGCGTGTCTCTCCCCTTGTCCTCCTCAGTACTCGCTCTGCAGTGAGCCTCTCATTGAGCTTTCAAACTCCGGGGCCAGCGGATCCCTCTTCTACGTGTCCAGCGACGATGAGTTCATCATCAAAACCGTGCAGCACAAAGAGGCTGAGTTCTTGCAGAAGCTGCTGCCTGGCTACTACATGGTGAGTCACTGGGGTGAGCCTGGGCCTGCAGGCTAGGGAAGGGTCCCTCGGGTGCACCGGGGTGACACATCCACCCCTGTAACCGCCTGGTAGGCGGCCGATGTGTGCCCCAGCTGAGTGGCAGCTTCTCTCTCAGCTGGCCGAGGGTAAGCACGGTGTCTCCCTTTGCTCAAGCCTCCCCAGCTTAGCTGCTGTGTGAGTAAGCAGCAAACTCCTTCCTGCAATTTGTCTCTGACCCGTTCAGCTTTGCAGAGAGGTTGTTAGCAAGGGGAGGCATCACCCATCCGTGCCCTGTGTTCACCTGCCCTTGGTGGCAGTGGCTTTGCATCACTGCTGGCTCCCTTTCCATCCAGAAGCATGGGAATGGCTGAGAAAGTTGGGGCTGTTCAGCCTGGAGAAGAGAAGCTGCGGGGAGACCTCAGAGCAGCTTCCAGTGTCTGAAGGGGGCCTATAGGGATGCTGGGGAGGGACTCTTCATTAGGGACTGCAGTGACAGGACAAGGGGTAACGGGTTCAAACTGAAACAGGGGAAGTTTACATTGGATCTAAGAAGGAAATTCTTTCCTGTGAGGGTGCTGAGGCACTGGAATGGGTTGCCCAGGGAGGTTGTGAATGCTCCATCCCTGGTGGTGTTCAAGGCTAGGTTGGACGAAGCCTCAAGTGAGATTTAGTGTGAGGTGTCCCTGCCCATGGCAGGGGGTTGGAACTGGATGATCTCCAGGTCCTTTCCAACCGGACCCATTCCATGATTCTATGAATTCTGCATAACCAGGAGGGCTTTGAAGGTGTTTCTGTCTTGGGTCTTTCAGAATCTGAACCAGAACCCAAGGACGCTGCTGCCAAAGTTTTACGGCCTCTACTGCGTCCAGGCTGGGGGCAAGAACATCCGCATTGTTGTGATGAACAACCTGCTGCCCCGCTCTGTCAAGATGCACCTGAAGTACGACCTCAAGGGCTCCACCTACAAGCGCCGAGCGTCCCAGAAGGAGAGGGAGAAAGTCTTCCCCACATACAAGGACTTGGATTTTATGCAGGACATCCCCGACGGCCTCTTCTTAGACTGTGACATGTATAATGCCCTGTGCAAAACGTTGCAAAGAGACTGTTTGGTAAGTGAAGGGGTGGTGTGGAGATTCTTTCCCATGAAAGGAGGTGGCAGCTCCACCCTTGGAGCCTCTGCCTGTTCCCTGGGAGAGCCTGTGTTGTGTAGTGGTCATGGTATGGACAAGCAGGACCTTGGCTCTGGTTTTGTTCGGTACTTCCAACCCGAATTAGACCCAGCGCTGCCTCTAGGGGTGGAGGAAGCATCCTCTGCTGAGGTTGGGCTCTGGAGCAGGGCAGGCTCTGGGCAGCAGAGTTGGGCAGCTGTGGAGACCCTGCTGTTCTCCCCTGGTTTGAGTCCCTGTGTGCACAGGACCACGACCCATGGCTTTCCCCTCACTCCCTTTGGCGACTGTGGATGCATTAACATAGATGGATTAGACTGGAGATGAACTGGATTAAAAGGCATCACCTCAGGGCTCTAAGCACAACTGCTGACTATGCTTCTGCAGCTGCTCTGACAGTGCCACTGCTTGTGCTGCTGACTGAGCTTGTGCTGCCTTCCTGCCCAGGTCCTGCAGAGCTTTAAAATCATGGATTACAGTTTGCTTGTTGCAATCCATAACATGGACCTGGCACAGAGGGAGCACGCCCTGGCCGACGGGACGTTGCAGGCTGACATGCGGCGACCCGCTGCCCAGAAGGCCCTTTACTCCACAGCCATGGAATCCATCCAGGGAGAGGCCCGGCGAGGTGGCACCATAGAAACAGATGACCAGTAAGTCTGTGTTGGGATTGCTCTTCCCAGTGCAACCCAAGCTTGGCTAACGGAGATGGAACTTAGATGGGCTGCATGGGATTGCTGGCAGGCTGGTCTTGGTAGCAGATTTGTCTTTGATTTCCCTTCCTTAATGTGTAAAAGACTTTGTTCGTGCCTTCCAGGTTGTATTGAAGAGTTGGGGTTGATCTTCACTAACAATTGTCCCAGAGGGAAAAGGGGGGCAGTTCTCAGGAGATTCAGCAGCTTAACTAGGGAGCATTTTGCTCTTCCCCAATCCACTGGGGGTGCCTCCTGCATGCTGGCGCCTGTTAAATAGCTCACACAGTATTCAGCCCCTGCCAGGGTGCATGAGAGAGGCAGTGGGAGGTTGAGAACTCCCTGCTTCACGTGTGTGCCCTGTCCTCTTCTAGGATGGGAGGAATTCCAGCCCGCAACGCCAAGGGGGAGAGGCTCCTCCTGTACATTGGCATCATTGATGTGTTGCAGTCCTACAGGTAAGAAAGCCTTGAGAGCAGCTGTGTCACCCGGTGAAGACCGCTTCACAGCCCGGGTTGCCCCTGCTTGGTTGTCACAATTGGCTTCCAAGTGGTTAAGGCACAAACTTCTTTACTACTTTCTGTTTCCCTGACATTGGGCATTTGGGGATCAGTTTCTGGGTCTTGTTTACTGGATTTGCTTCAAGTTCCTGGCATAGATTTGCTCTTGGGAAGTTGGTTTTGTGTGCTTGGTGCTTGTGCACAGGTGCTGTGCAGGAGGTGGCAAGTTACAGAACAAGTGGTGGCTTAAAATGGCCATAACCACTTCTCCCTATAAAATGAAAGCTAGCTGTAAGGTTTACCTTTCCCTCTGTTTATACCAAAGCGCAGTGTGCAGGGGTTGCATGTATAAAGCCCCTGCTAAATGTCACTGCAAGTTCATTGTCCTTGATGATTAGGCCTGTGAAACTCTCCCTCTGGGAGGCTGAACCGTGCAGCCAGCCCTGGTATGTGTGGGGGACAATGAAGAGGATCCCAAGCCGAAGCAGTCAGGGTTTGCAGTGTGTTGTGGCCAGGAGCCAGGGTCACTACTGAGCGAGCCCAAAATGACACAGGGAGTGGGGACTTAGTGCAAAAACCCTTTCCTTTGTCAGACTTGTCAAGAAGCTGGAGCACTCCTGGAAGGCCCTCGTGCACGATGGGGTAAGTGGAGCAGCAGCCCTTTGAACTTGCTTAGCAGCCGTGCCAGTGTCTTTAAGCTGTGCCTGCTGCCCTTGCTCCTGAGATGCTGGGTTCCCAAGGGGGGTAGGTGTGTTTGCCCTCTTTCTATGTCAGGGTATGTTCTAGGTACTGGCACAAGTGTTGCTCTTGGTGATGCTGGTCATCTCCATACTCATTAAGGAGTATTAATTGCTTTGGATTCAGTGCCCACTGCTTGTAGCTACTGCGCTTCTCACAGCTGCTAGTGAGAGCGACTGAGGACCCCTGCCTGGTCCCAGTCCAGCCCAGCCCTGTGTGTTCCAAGGCTGACAGCCCGAGGTCTCCTGTTCACCTGGGTCACTCACTAAATCAGGTTCTTTCTTGGACTTCCAGGACACTGTATCCGTGCACAGACCCAGCTTCTATGCCGAGAGGTTCCAACGGTTCATGTGCAACACGGCGTTCAAGAAAATACCCTGTAAGTACCTGGGCACAGCTGAGCTCTTGGCCGTTGCCGTGGTTTCTGGCTTCTGTAGCTTGGGAAGCTTTAGGAATTCTCTCGTGCTGTGTCGCATCTTCCTGCCTCCCGGATTGTTCTTGCCTCAGAGATGTGACCCGACAGGAGCTGTGTCATCCCTCAGCTTGTTCCTTTGGGGCACAGCTCCGGGACCGGGCTCTCGCTGGAAAGTCTCTTCCTCCTTCCTGAAGCTGTCTGAAAAGGGCTCTCTTGGCTTCTGTCTTTCAGTAAAGCCATCCCCCTCTAAGAAGAGCCGGTCCGGCGCAGCCGTCCCGCGGCGGAGCTGCCAAGGGGCAGTGCCTTCCCTGTCACACGTGTCCTGCGAGACGAAAGCGCAAGTGACGACGGAGGCGGATGTGGAGCAAGGTTGGTGCCTGGGTTAAAAACCTGGAGAGCTCTTTCTCCAGCTTGGGTTTGTCTGCTGGAAGCTCTGTGAGACCCCTCCACGTTGGGTTGTGCTCTTGCTGGGCGGGAAGGGGGTGATTATTGTGGGTGCAGGAAACCAAATGGCCTTTGGCAGCCTGACAGCAGAAGAAAGGCCCTGGAGGAGCAGCGAGCCCTGGAAAGGCTCTGCTGCTTCCAGGTGTTCTGTTGCAGCATATAAACCTTACCAGGATGAGACCAGATTGTGGAGGGGGGGAATCGTTAGCTCGTGTGTCCTCATGGAATCTTTCAGCCTTGTCCAAGCATCAGCTTGGCCCTTGCCTCCCGCTGGGAAGGGGGCTGAGGTGCTGTGGCAGTGCTGTGAGCCTCGTCTCTTCCCAACATGGGATTTGTGCCGGGGGAGAAGCAGGGTTAAGCACTTGTGTGGAGGCTTGCACTTGGAACAGAGAACTGCCTGCAGGGCTGGGTCTGCAGTGCCTGGGTGCCTCAGATGTACGGGGTGGGATGCAGCACAGACCCCAACCCTTGGGCAGTGTGGGCGCTCGTGCCATAGGGTCCTGCTTGCGCTGGTGATGGAACAGTCTGTGTTCAACTCAGGTTCCCACCTTGGTCGCCCAGATCTCCTGCCCAGGACCCTGCCAGTGGATGAAGCCAACAGCGATTCCATCGCAACGACCCTGTCCACATCCTCCTTGGGCAGCGGAGGCCTCAACTCGCCCGCAAACAGGTGAGGGCCCATGGCAGGCTGGTGGCTCCTGCAAGGCAGATCCAAGGCATGGGAGGACTTTGTGCTGCTCTGTGGATGTTCCTGGGGTTTGGCATGCTCGCAGAAACACCCGTTGGGGAGCTCTTTGTGTCGTGGGGCAAGTTCAGTGCTGTCGGTTCAAGCACGTGCAAGGGGGAAGCATCGTGTGTCTGTTACAGGTGACGTGATCTTGCATTGCTTGAGCTGTGTGAGGGTCCCGGTGGCTCTTAGTTCCTTGTGTGGTCTGTATTTAACGGCTTTGTTCTGGAGTCGAGGTAATTGTGCTAATTCAAGTGAGTTGGTGGAAGTGTCCCTGCTAAAATGTACGTGAAGAGCGCTGACGTGGTGCTGGGTGATGCTGACGTTGACCTTCCTGCTGCTCTCCGCAGAGGGTTGGGCTTTCCTGCAACTTAGGGTTGGCATGGAGCTCCTACAACCCCTCGGGAAAGGAGGCTGCAGGATGTGTGCAGCGTGGTTCAGTGTTGTCTCGGAAGCTGAAATGCATGGAGAGCCCTGAGGGAGCTGGGGGCTGTTGTTGAGTGGTCGATCTCTTGCTGGAGTGGTAAGGACGAGGAGGAGCTGTGGTCAGAGGATGATCCCTTTCATACAAGTTAACTTCTCTTCCTGGAAGCAATCAGAAAGAGTCTTCCCCAGTGCTGAGCTACTGCCTGCACCGTGGCACAGCTGGAAGTGCCAGCTCTCCCTTGAGCTGCAGGAGAATAAGATGCAGTTGTAATCAAGACCTCTTACTCCCTCTGTAAAACATGGAAACTTCTTGGTAGGGATCCGAAACCAGAGCTGCTCCTTTCCAGTAGGTCAGCATGCCTGAGGTGCTCCTTTGAACTTAACTGCGGGTCTCTCTCCCTTCAATCCCTGCGTAGGTCAGTGGGCGTGCAAGTGCATAAAGCTGACAGCTCAGCAAAGGATTTGACTAGGACAGCTCCTGGCATCTTCCTGTCTAGGTGAGGGGAGGACCCAGACTTTGCCTGCAACCTTCTCCTGTCCAGAGGCTGTCCTCAGTGAGGCTTTACAGCGGGGGTCTGGCCTCGTGCTTGCTGCTGGCCAGTGCTTCCAGAGGCTCTGTGCAGTGGGTGCTGTAACGCAGGGTGTCCCTGTGCCAGGGCTCAGCCCTCCTTAGTGCACCTCTGTGTGGTGAAACCTCTCAGGATGGTGTCCTCCCCACCCTGCCCGGTGCTGAGCCCCCTTCTTGGGCAGAGCACAGCTCCTGGTGGGTGAGATCAAACCCACTGCGCTTTTGTAACCTTGGTTGGTCCCCAAAGCTCTGCCAGCCCCGAGGAGGGGTGAAAGCAGCTTGTGGGTTGTGATTGAGAGCAGCGTGCCTGCCCTGGGATGTCCCAGGTTGGTCCTGGGCTCTTTGCTTTGGCTTTTTTCTCTCTCCAGACTTGGCTGCTCTGGTGGGGTCTTCACCACCCTTACATCTCTGTAGCCCTGTACCAAGGGGAGTGATCTCCCCAGGACCTGCCCTTCTGAGGGTGCACACAGGGGGAAGGCAGGATGGGGCTCGCTCCAGCGCATCAGGTGCTCAGTGCACCCGGGTTGTATGTCCTTTTGTCGGGCTGCAGCTTGAGTTCAGAGCGGAAGAGGTTTGCCAGGGGCACTTTCAAACACAGGTTCCTCTGTCTGGAAAGGCTGAGACTTGCTGAGCTCCGTGCTTTGTCCTTCCTTTGTCCCTGGCCTGTTTTCACCCAGGACCATTCCTGTGTTGATGAGGTGCTCCAAGACTTCTGTCAAGAGGTGCTGGTGCTTTGCTGGACAAAAGGTCCTTGTTCCTAACAGCTGAAGTCATGTCAGGCCTGGCGGGCTGATCTTCTACGTGGTGGTTTGGGTGCCTGCCCTAGCAGGGATCGTGTTGCCTTGTGTTAAACCTGCCTTAAAAGCGCCTTTGTGCTGTGCTGGGACGTCTCCTTGGCTGGGTACAGGCGAGCAGGCCAGGGAACGTGAGCGATGGAGAGCTCACCTTGAACAAGTGCTTTACAGGTCTCTCCCTTCTGTTTCCCCCCCCCACCAGTGGCTCCCCAGGGCCTTCTGTACCCGAGCACTCTGCAGAGCTGAGAGAGCAGCTCGAAGACCTGCAGGAGACTGAGATAAGCTTTGTGAGTACTTCCCCGTTCAGGAGGAAAAGAGCAGCCTGGGAGGTGGAGGGAGAACTGGGGGAGGTTCCGTGGGCCCTGGCTGTGCTGGGAAGATGGGCACAGAGCGGGATGTGCCAGCTGACCAGAGCAGGAGCTCTTCATCCCTCTCTGGATTGTGAACGGTGCTGGGCACAAGTTCGTGTTAACCTGCTGCCCCAAGTGCCTTAGGTAAGCAAGAGGCAAAGCAGAGACACTGCTCTTCCCTGAGGGCTCAAAGTGGGTCTGATGGCACATAAAAGGGGTGAAGCTGCTCACAGACCCTCCTGTTGCAACGTAGGATGGGGGCTGGTTTAAACCTGAGCTCAACATCCCCTTCCCCTCTGCCTCTCCTGGGGTGGAGAAGGTTGAGGGGAAGACGAAGCAGGGGACCTCAGAGGAAGGCTTGAGCCCTCCCTGGCATCTCCCCCTCTTTTCTCTTCACAGTGAAGCAACACGGGATTGCTGCGATGGAAGCAGATGGTTCTGTTCCCTGCGTGGTCCGTGGAGTCTGACAGAGAATTCAGCCCCTGTTGCTGATTTATGTTTCCCTTTTTTATTCCTAAGTAATCTTACGTGGACAGAAACCCAAAGGCTGAAGGTTGGGCCACACTTAGCGGGATAGCATTAACCAAGAACCGAGCCAGCGCAGCTGAGCCTCGGACCCCTGAAGGTCTCCTTAGAGCAGAGCCCAGCGCTGCGTCCCTGCTGTCCTCTTTGCTTGGAGCCTGGGGAGAGCAAGGGCGGCTGCCGGGAGGAGGAGGAGGAGGAGGAGGAAGAGGAGGAACTGCTCGGCGGGGGCTGAAGCTCTGCGGAAGGGACGTGACGTGCAGGAGGCGGCCGCTTCCCATGCGACCCCACAGAGGCACCGAGGACGGGAGACTCTTTGGAGTGCCTGGGGTGGGCAGCGGGCACTGGAGCCTCGTTGGGGCCGTTTGCCCCGGAGCAGCACGGTTTGATTTTGTACTTTAGCCACGTTTTTAATTTCAGTGTTTCTCTGGATTCGGTCCCTGCCCTCCTTCCTGCTCCCGCAGTGTGCTCTTGCTGTTTTTAGTGGGTGTTTTTTTTTACCAAATAGGGGTTTTTGTGGTTTTTTTTTCTCAGTGCTCCAGCAGAAAGCACCTGCTGTGACTGAGGCAGAAAGGGGCAGCAGGCGCTTCACTGCCTATGGACGAGCTCCTCTCTCCCCGCTGCTGCCCCCTCCTGTGCAGCCTTGCAGCGCCGCGTTGCTCAGAGGCCTTTGAATGTACGAAGCTTTTTTGGGGCTCGGGGAGCTTTTGGATTCCTTTGGGCCCTGGGGTTTTTAAACGAGGCCCCTTTGGCCCTTCCCTGCCCGCAGTGGAGCCGCAGCCGAGGGGGAGAGCTCTGCTGAGGGGCACTTTTATAGGGGTATTTCTTAAGCAACCGGACCAAACCCAACGTGCTCCGTTCCGTTCCCTTCCCCTGCCCTCGGCCCCGCGTGTGGATCCCAGCCTGGTTTTTACGGCTCGGCTCCCTTTGGGTACCTTGCCTGTGTTGTAGCTGGGCCGCTCCTGGCAGCTTGGGGCAGAGATTCCCCCTCCGGTGGCACAGCTGCCCCACAAGCGTGGGGCAGTGGGAGTCTTCTTAAGTAAAAGGCTGGAAGAAGGGGGGGGGATTGTTCCGGGATGCCCGGCCCGCAGCGGGCGCAGCCTCCCAGGGATCCCGGAGCGCATGCGGGACTGAGCTTTAGGGTCACAGAGTGCTTTTTGAAGAGGGATGAAGTGACTCTTCCCTGTGTTCCTGATGGCTCAGAATCCTCAGGGACATTAAAGAAGTCATTTCAAGCTTAAGGGGTTTCTCTAGGAACAACCAGCGATGGTTATGGAAACACGGAATGGCCAAAGGGAGGGTTTAGGTGATGGTCCAGAGCCAGGTCTCTTCCCACCTTCCACCGGAGCCTCTCGGCGCGGATGGGCCACAGGCTGGTGGGGTTTTAGGGAAGCGTTTTCATTCTTTGCTCTTTTCCTCGCCTGTCCCTGGGTGTCCGGATGCCCAGCGCTGGCGTTGCCGGTGCCTGCGTGCCCGGAGCCGCGCAGGGTGCTGGGATGCTGAGGACGGGCACCGGCCCTAACCCGGGTCTCAAGGGCTCCTTGAACCTTTCCATGCCAATTGAACGTCGGGACGGGAGCCGGGAGCGGGGGGAAGCTCGGCTCGGGGCTGCCTGGGCTTGGCTCTTCCCTTGGCCCTCGCTGGCAGCTCCGGTGCCCCGTTACAGCCCAGGTAACTGTCTATATTAGACACTTGTTTCTTATCTTCCCCCCTAACCCCTTTCTGTTTGTTTTTAACCAGGCGGGAAGAACCCCAGATCTCAGCTGTTTTTCATGATGGAATATTTATGGAGTTGTATTTAAGTGTTTGTTTTCCTTTCCCTGGGGATAGTTATTCCTATGGGGTGGGGGGGGTGTTTCTGTATTGACCTCTGCTTTGTAATGGGTTTCCAGAGCTGCTTTTTCTTCTTTGTGCGTGTTTCCAAGGGCTGGGGCTTGGGGGTTGTGGCTCTTTAACACCCCCCCCCCCCCCCCGTGCAAGGAGGGGGCTTTGCTTCTCCAGCCCCACCACTGTGGGAGCGGGCAGCAGTGGCCGCTGGAGCCTCTGGATCAGCGCGAGGTGATGGATCAGGGATGGACATGGGGGGATCATGGTCACACATGGGTGGATCATGGTCACACATGGATGGATCATGGTCACACATGGATGGATCATGCATGGATCCTGGTCAGACATAGATGGATCCTGGTCAGACATGGATGGACATGGGGGGATCATGGTCACACATGGATGGATCATGGTCACACATGGATGGATCATGGTCACACATGGATGGACATGGATGGATCATGGTCACACATGGATGGATCATGCATGGATCCTGGTCAGACATGGATGGACATGGGTGGATCATGGTCACACATGGATGGACATGGATGGATCATGGTCACACATAGATGGATCATGCATGGATCCTGGTCAGACATGGATGAACATGGATGGGTATGAATGGATCATGGATGGGTGTGGATAGATCATGGATATGAATGGATCATGGTCAGACATGGATGGACATGGGTGGATCATGGTCACACATGGGTGGATCATGGTCACACATGGATGGATCATGGTCACACATGGATGGACATGGATGGATCATGGTCACACATAGATGGATCATGCATGGATCCTGGTCAGACATGGATGAACATGGATGGGTATGAATGGATCATGGATGGGTGTGGATAGATCATGGATATGAATGGATCATGGTCAGACATGGATGGATCATGGATGGATGTAGATGGATCATGGATGGATGTGGATGGATAATGGTCAGACATGGATGGATATGAATGGATCATGGATGGATGTGGATAGATCATGGATATGGATGGATCATGGATGGATGTGGATGGATCACGGTCACACATGGATGGATCATGGATGGGTCATGGTCACACATGGATGGTTCATGGATGGATGTAGATGGATCATGGTCACTCATGGATGGATGTAGATGGATCATGAATGGATGTGGATGGATCACGGTCACACATGGATGGATGTGGATGGATCATGGATGGATGTAGATGGATCATGGATGGATGTGGATGGATCACGGTCACACATGGATGGATCATGGATGGGTCATGGTCACACATGGATGGTTCATGAATGGATGTGGATGGATCATGGTCACTCATGGATGGATCATGGTCACACATGGATGGATGTGGATGGATCATGGATGGGTGTGGATGGATCATGGTCACACATGGATGGATCATGGTCACACATGGATGGATGTGGATGGATCATGGATGGGTGTGGATGGATCATGGTCACACATGGATGGATGTGGATGGATCATGGATGGGTGTGGATGGATCATGGTCACACATGGATGGATGTAGATGGATCATGGATGGATGTGGATGGATCATGGTCACTCATGGATGGATGTGGATGGATCATGGATGGATGTGGATGGATCATGGTCACTCATGGATGGATGTGGATGGATCATGGATGGATGTGGATGGATCATGGTCACACATGGATGGATGTGGATGGATCATGGTCACACATGGATGGGTGTGGATGGATCATGGTCACACATGGATGGATGTGGATGGATCATGGATGGGTGTGGATGGATCACGGTCACACATGCATGGATCATGGATGGATCACGGTCTTTCACGGCTGGGACCACAGCAGGGCCCGGCCCGGCCGCGGGAGCAGCTCGCTCCGTGCGTGACCGTTGTCCTTTCGGCTCTGTAGCGCTTGTGGCCTCGTCCGACCGCACAATACAAACCCGTGCTGCTGGCCCGCTGCTCCTGCGCCTCTCTGCGGGGACGGGGACGGGGGGGAACGGAACCGAACGGGACCGGGCCTTTCCGGGACTCCACCTCCCAGCATGCCCCTCACCTCCTTCCGCCCCTCACCTCTCAAGACGGGAAGCGGGGATTGGCCAGTAGCGTGGAGCCAACCCACGGGCGCCTTGTTGGCGGCGCTCGGTGCTCGGTGCCCGGTGCCGGTGCGGAGGAGCGGCCGGCAGGATGGTTCTGGAGAGCACCATGGTCTGGTGAGCGCGGCCCCCCCCCCCACCCCAGCACCGGGGCTCCGCCACCGCTCGGACCGAGCCCGAGCCCCCGCGGCCGGCCCGGGGCTCCGGCGCCTTTCCCTGAGTCATCGCGGGCCTGGAGCGGGGAGAAGGGGCAGGGATGGGGGCCCTTGGGGCGGGGGGGTTGGGGTCTGCCGGTGCCTCCTCCCCGTCCGTCCCTGCCCTGCCATGGGGCGGTGGTCACGGAGCGGGGGGAGCCCTTCCCTTGGCGTTAAAGCTCCACGGGAGCCCTTCCCCTGGGCCTGAACCGGGCTCCCAAGCCCTTCTTCAACCTTCCCCAAGGCCCCGTAGGAGGAAGGCTTTGGGGTCTGATGGAGCCGTGGGGAGGGAGCGGGGAGCGGTGTGGGGGGATCGGGGAGCGGTGTGGGGGGAGCGTGGGGCGGTGGCGGTGGGGTTGGCTCGTGGTGCGGCCGCTGCCCCTGGGCGCTGAGGGGCACTGCTGCTCCTCGCTGGGAGGCTGGGGCGGAGGGCGCTGGGAAAGCCGCGTTCCGTCCTGCTGGAGACCCCTTGGCACCGACGGACACGGAGCTTTGCGCTGCCCCGGGGAGGTGCTGGGGCAGCGGGGCTCCGGGGGGGGGGGGTCCTGCCCGCAGGCCCCTCTCCCTTCAGCAAGGAACGGGAGCTTCCAGCTCCCGGCGTTTGCCCTGCGAGGCAGAGCTCTGGGGATGCAGGGGGATCCATCCTGCCCTGGGACACATCCGTCACCACCGGCGTGGGTCCCAAACCCCACCCTCGGGGGCTGCACCTCCACTGAGACCCCCCCCCCCTCTCTCTATTCCAGCGTTGACAACAGCGAGTACATGAGGAACGGGGACTTCCTCCCGACCCGCCTGCAGGCCCAGCAGGACGCTGTCAACATCGTGTGCCACTCGAAGACCCGCAGCAACCCCGAGAACAACGTGGGGCTCATCACGTTAGCCAAGTATGCTCCTTGGGGGGGGGGGGTCCGCGGTGCTCCTGGTGCTGGGGAGCGCACCCATGGGAGGGCTTGGAACACGGGGCAGCAACAGCACAGTCTGAAACCAAACCCGTCCTGGGAGGACTGGGACGAGGAAAGCCGGGTCCTGCCCGGTCTCTTGCTTGTTGGGCTCGCTCCTGCGATGCCAGGGTGGGCTGTGGAGGCTTTTCTCTCTCAGGAGCTCCCTGCCAGACCTGTTCCCTTGTGGCCCTAAGGGTGGTTAAATAAGGGCTGAGCTGCCACTGCAGCTCCCACATGGCCCCAGGAGGGGGATTGCTCCGTTCTCCTGTGGAACTCCAGGGCCTGTGAGCTCCCTCTTAGGCAGAGTCCCTTAAAATGGGCTGGGGCAGGGGCCAGGGTGTGCAGGGAGGGCTCTCCCCCCTGTGGCAAAGAGGTTTCACAAAGAGTGGCTGAAGGAAATGTGTTTGCGCCGCAGTAACTGTGAGGTGCTGACCACGCTCACGCCGGACACGGGACGGATCCTCTCAAAGCTACACACGGTGCAGCCCAAAGGGAAGATCACCTTTTGCACAGGGATCCGAGTGGCTCACGTAAGTGGCTTCCCAGGGGCGAGTCTGCTCCTTCCTCTGTCGTTGCTTTTGCCTCACTGCGTCTCTCACGTTCCCTGTCCGGTGCGTGGCTCAGCGGCAGAAATCTTGTTCTCCCCCTGCTCTGCTGGGCACATCAGTTTGGTTTTGCCTCACTTTCCCTGCCTGCAGATGAAAGCCCCGGGAGGAAACCCAGTCTAAAAGCTCATGAGTTTTATAGCCCGGCCCTGGGTTGCTTTGGAGGAACCCGAAATGCAGCTGAGCTGCAGAGCCCTTCCCACCCCGAGGAGAGCGGCCCGCAGGCCGGGGCCACCTCTTTACCCTGTTTTCTTGCTCTGCCAACAAAGTGCTCCCAGCAGAGCCGTGACTTCCAGAGCAGGGAGGCCCCTGGGCCCTGCTGCTTGATGGCACTTGGGGGCTTGCTGCTGAGAGCTCTCTCCTGGCACTCAGCTGAAGCCTTCGTGCGCCGCGGGAGAAGGATCAGGGTGACAGCTGGTCACCTCTTTGCCTGCAGGTTGCTCCTCAGGTACAATAGAGCTTCTGTCTTGCAGCTGGCTTTGAAGCATCGCCAAGGCAAGAACCACAAGATGCGAATCATTGCCTTTGTGGGGAGCCCTGTGGAAGATAACGAGAAGGATGTGAGTAATGGGTAAAGGAGAGCGGGGTGGGTGGGGGATGCTCTGCACTCCACTTGCAACCACACATTTGCTTGCCCTGTATTGGGGTAAGGCTTTATACCCCAGAGCAGAGCAGCTCTCAGCTGGGAGCAGAGGGAGGGCTGGATCCCTGGGCACAGCCAGGCCTGAGCCAAGGGCAGAGATCCATAGCTCCCAAAGAGAGCTTGCACTGCGACCTGCACCTCCTGCCTTGTGGCTGTCACATAAAGCTCTCCGGGCTTTTTGCCTGGGGAGCTAGGGGAGGAAATCCATGTTCCTGTGCAGAAACGTTGCCCTCAGCCTTGGGAAGATGCTGTTGTGTTGGCATCTGAATTAACTCAGCTGAAGTTAATGCAGATGTTCTGGGTCTCTTGGAGAGAACAGGTCGGTAACAGGAGGAGGTGCTGCCCGTCCCAGGCTCCTGCTGTCCCCATTGATGGGGATAGCTCCTGGCTTGGGCAGGAACAGGTCCCTCTTGCTGCCTCGCAGGGCCTTGGGCACTGTGCCCTTGGAGAGATAAAGTACCTCAAACGCTTTCCTGCTGGGAGGCCTTGAAAGTGGGAAGCTGATTTTGAGCTTTGGGCCTCCAGGACTGAATTCCTTAGGGCTGCTGTCTGGTTTTGATGAGCTCAACGTGCCTGTCCTGGGTTCAGCAGCAGCAGTCATTTGTCTCCTTCTTAGCAGCTGGTGCAGTGCTGTGGTTCTGACTTTCAGCCTGGGAGCAGCGCTGATGACACCGATGGTTTTGGTTGGTCGGAGGGACCATTACTTAGCAACAAGGACTTTGTGAGCCTCCCGCTCTGCCAGGGAGGGGAGGAAGCAGAGGCAGGACACCTGACCCAACCTAACCATACCACAGCACGTCATACCAGTATATAAACAGGGGGCAGTTACCCAGAAGGCCCAGATCACTGCTGGGGTCGGGCTGGGTATCGGTCGGCGGGTGGTGAGCGGTTGTATTCTCTTCCCTTGTTGTTTCCCTTATCGTTATTGTCCCTGGTGGCAGCAGCAGTGGTTTGTGTTAGACCTTAGCTCCTGGGCTGTTCTTATCTCAGCCCATGGCAGGTACAGTCTTTCCATTCTCCTCCCCATCCCTCCGGGAGAGGGTGGAGGAAGGTGGGGAGCGAGCGAGCGGCTGCGTGGCTCTCACTTACTAGCTGGGTTCAAACCACAGCGGCCCGCGCTGGGCTCTGAGGATTTCCTGAGCCTCGGCTGCCAGGATCTCTTTTTCAGTTGGGGTACAGCCGGCCTCGGGTCCTCTGTATCCCCGACTCCAAAAGCCGAGGGGTTGACCTCGAGTCAGGTGTCCTGGCTCTGCTTCCTCCTGGCTTCCCCTGCTCCCTGGCAGAGCGTGAGACTCACAAAGTCCTTGGTCAGAGTCAACATTACTGAGCAGCAAGTAAAACCCTCAGTGTTATCAGTGCTGCTCCCAGGCTGAAAGTCAAACCCACAGTGCTGCACCAGCTACTGCTGAGCCCAGGGCAGTGCCTAAGAGCCAAAATCCAAGCTAATGCCATGGTGTCTTCTCGCTGCAGCTGGTGAAACTGGCGAAGCGTCTGAAGAAAGAGAAGGTCAACGTGGACATCATCAATTTTGGAGAAGAGGTGAGCCTTGTGCCAGATCAAGGCGGGATTTGAATCCCTCCTGCCCCAGAGCCCTTATTCAGGCACCGGAGGATATGAAGAGCTCTCTGAGCCTCGATCTCCTCAGCAGTTGCCCCAGTGGAGAGTCCCATGTCCAGGCAAAGCTCTAACCCCAGCCTTCCTCTTCGCCCCTAGGAAGCCAACACAGACAAGCTGACTGCCTTCATCAACACCTTGAACGGCAAGGATGGCACCGGCTCCCACCTGGTGACGGTGCCACCGGGGCCCAGCCTGGCTGATGCCCTCATCAGCTCCCCCATCCTGGCCGGGGAAGGCGGTGCCATGCTGGGCCTGGGCGCCAGCGATTTCGAGTTTGGAGTGGATCCCAGTGCAGACCCGGAGCTGGCGCTGGTGAGCGATGGGGACGTGGAGGGCGGCTGTGGGCTGAGCCTGCCCTGCCTGCCTCAGCTCATTGCCTGGCCCCGTCTCTGCAGGCTCTGCGTGTCTCCATGGAGGAGCAGAGGCAGCGGCAAGAGGAGGAGGCCAGGAGGGCTGCAGCTGCCTCTGCAGCTGAGGCTGGGATAGCGGCCACTGCTGGGGATGGTAAGGAGCTGGGCCGGGAATACCCCAGCAGGGTGTTCCCTGGGGATGGCTCCCGTGGCAGTAAGGCTGCCTGAGTGGGGGATGCAGCTCTGCTCCTGGCAGGGCCCTTCTGTGCGGTGTGGCAGCACCCAGAGCCGCTGGGGTGCGAGGCAGGAGCTGGGTTATGCCCCTGGCACCTCGGAGGGAGGCAGTTTACCTGCAGCGAGCTGAGGAACCACCTCTGCCTCTGCTGGAACTCCCAACTGCCCCATTCCTGTCCTGGGTATCCTGGGTAGTGTGTTCAGCGGCTCTGCTCCCGTCCCCTTCCCCAGTGATGCCACGTGTGTGGGTGGGAACAGGGGTTGTGTGGGGCGCTGGACCCAGGGGGGCAGCCCCATTGCTGCTTCCTGAGCAGGGCTTTGGCTGTGCAGATTCGGACGATGCTTTGCTGAAGATGACGATAACTCAGCAGGAGTTTGGCCGGGCCGGGCTGCCCGACCTCAGCAGCATGACGGAGGAGGAGCAGATTGCTTACGCCATGCAGATGTCCCTGCAGGGAGCAGGTGAGTGCCTGGAGCCCATTCCCAAAGGAAGAGTCCTGTGCCTTCAGGAACGGAGCCACCGGCCCCTATGCCCAACCTGCCCCCAAGTGATGCTGGGACCCCAAACCTGGGCAGGGTCCAGCCCTCCCTGAACACTGGGGGCCGGGTGCCAGGCTCGCTCCCCTGCGCCGTGGGCAGGCTGTGGGTGAGTGAATCCTCTGCCCCCACTGTCCCTCTCCTCCGACAGAGTTTGCCCAGGCGGAGGCAGCGGAAGTGGACAGCAGCACAGCCATGGACACCTCCGAACCCGCTAAGGTGCGCTTCCCATCCTATCCCTGTCCCCCTCCCTCCGCGAGGAGAGGAAGAGGAGGAGGTGACCCCGGCCTGTGCCCATCCCCTCCTCGCTGTCCCCGCAGGAGGAGGACGACTACGACGTGATGCAGGACCCCGAGTTCCTGCAGAGCGTGCTGGAGAACCTGCCGGGCGTGGACCCCAACAACGAGGCCATCCGCAACGCCATGGGCTCGCTGGCCTCGCAGGCCTCCAAGGAAAGCAAGGACAAGAAGGAGGAGGAGAAGAAGTGAGGGGCCGGGGGGGGGTTCTGCTCTCGGGGGGGCAATAAAGGCTTCCATGGGCGGCGCTGTCCCGGCCTCGGTGGGGAGGGCGCGCCCCGAACACGTGCGCGGGGAAGCCCCGCCCCCTGCGCGCCCTCCCGCGGGATGTTTACCATGACGCCATGGGGCGGGGCTTGGCGGTTGATGGGCAGCAGCGGCAGCCAATCGGTGAGGGTGTGCGGGGCTTGGGGGGGGGCAATAAGGTTGGGGGCGTGGCTCTGTGGGGTCGGCCAATGGGGAGGCGAGCAGGTGCGTGAGTGGCGGGGACGTCATCAAAGGGGCTGAGCAGCAAATGGGAGGAGGTGGTTGAGGTCTTCGTACCAATGGGGATGGCGGGGGGGCGGGCCCTGCGCTTGAGCGGCAGCTCTCTGGCCCAATAGGAAAGCAACATGTGGGACACGCCCTGGCGGCCGTTCCTTGTGGCCAATAGCTGCTTGGAGCGCAGCCGCAGCTGGCCAATGAGAAGCGGGAGGGGGCGTGTTGTGTTGATGAACAAATCCTCCAGCCAATGAGCGGCGAGGACGTCACTTGGGCCAGCCACCAATAGGAAGCGGCATGGGCGGGGGCCGCGCTTTGAATGGCAGCCGCGCTGTCCAATGAGCGCTGCCGGCGGGGAGGGGGCGGGCTCCATCCGCGGAGTTACCTCCGCTCCGCCAACGGCGAGTGCGAGCAGCCGTGACCCCGCCCCCCCTCCCTTCCCGGGAGAGCGACAACTGCGGCAGCCAATCGGGATGCGCTCCACGGCGAGCGGCGGGCGGCTCCGCCAATGGGGCGGCGAGGGGCGGGAGCGAGGCTGGCGAGCGGCCGGTGGCGGAGGAGGGGGGGGGCGCGGGCCAAGCAGGAAGTGGCTGAGGGGAAGCGGGCGCCGCGGAGGGGCCTGGGCGGGATCCGGCCGCCCCCCGCCCGCAGCCGCAGGTACCGGGGAGGGGGGGGGAGCCCCGGTCCGGTGGTGGTTGGAGGGTTGGGGGGGGGGGAGGTTGGGCCCGGTCCGGTCCGGTCCGGTCGGGCCATGGCGGGATGGGGCGGCCCGGTCACGGTCACCGGGGGCAGCGTTGGGAATGGGGGGGGGGGCGCATCCGTGCCCTCAGGCTTGGGGCGGCAGCAGCAGCCCCGGTTGTGCCCCCTATAGTGAGGGGCGGGATGGGGCCTTGTGTGTGGCCGGAGGGCCTGGGCCCAGCTTCGGGACTGAGCCCCGTCCTCCTCCGTGCGCTGGGGGAGGCTGAGTTGGGGGGCTTGAAGGGGGTGTCCCCATCTTTCCCTCCCTTTCCCTCCCCTTCGTTCTTATTCCCTTGGCGGACGCGGTTGTGCCTTGTTTCGGGTCCCGGGGCCGTTTTCGTGCTCCTGGGGTGCGTGAGGAGGGGACGCTGCGCTGTGCACGGGCAGCCTTGTGCCGTGGCGGGGGCTCCGCTAGCCTGAGGATGGGGTTTGGGAAGGGGCCGTGTCCGTGTCCGTGCCTTTACCGCGCCCCAGGGGCCTGGGAAGAGCGGCGAGGTGGCTCCCAAGCGGGTTAAGGAGGAGGGAACCTCCCCATGGGCCTGCGGCCGGGGGAGGAAGAGAGAACGGGAGGCGTGGAGAGGATCCCGGGGCGGCCTGGGTCGTTGTCAGCTCCCTGCCTCTGCAGGGGTGGCTGGGGCGGGGGGGGGGGATCGGGGAGGTGGCCTGGGGTGGTTCCAGGTAAAGGAGAAAGGCACCGGCCTGGAGCGGGGTTGGCTCCGCGCTGAGTTCCTGCAGGGAAGCGGCTGGGGGTTCATAGGGAAACCCTCAGGGCTGTCGCTTCCCGAGGGGTCAGGTGAGGTTCGGGGGGGGCTCTGCGTCCGCGGTGGCCCCGGGGAGGAGGAGGGGGGCAAGGGCAGGGAGAGCACCCGCAGAGCCCCCGTAAAGTTGCCTCATCCCTCGCTGCTGGTGCCTGCATCTCATCGGGTACCGGGCAGCCCTCGCGGGCTGCGATTGCCTTTCTGCAGTCAGCGCAATGCAAAGAGAAGGGGAAGGCTGCGAGGCTCCGTGCTGGGGTTTTGAGCCGTGGGGTCGGGACTGAGCCTTGTTTGTGCAGCAGCTGCCTCAAAGGATGTATTTTTAGTGCCCGAGGAGGAAAAAAACTGCGTCACCCACATGTGGCTGTGCTGGGATTAGCAGAGGAGGGAGGCCTGGCCGAGGTGCTTCCCAAAGCCTTGCCGAGCAGCAGCAGCAGCAGCAGCAAGAGGATGGGTGAGCCGGTGTGAGCGCTCTTTGGGCAAGGGGCCACCCGCTTCCCCATAGGCACCGCCGTGAAGCAGTGGGAGCTGCAGAAACGCAAGGCTCCAGCTGCTGGAGAGGTGGTGCCAGCGTGGAGGTGGCTCAGGGTCGTCTCCATAGCACCCAAAGCTCTCCTCATCCCGCAGGACTCCTGTTTGTCTCTGGGTTTATTCTCCTGGCTCCACTTTGTTTGTACCATCAAGTACCTCGGCACGCATGGGGGTGCTCGGAACAGAGCACACGGGCAACGAGCAGGGCGCAGCAGTGGCACGGGGAGCTCTGTTCCCTCCCTTTGGCATCCCACTGGCAGAGCCGCTCTTTATTCCTCTGGGATAAGCGAGGCGTCCCAGCTGAGGTCGCAAACTTGACGTTGGAAACCCCAATGTAATGCACAAAACACGGGGATGGGGAGAACTGGGAAGTGCTCCTAACGATGTGGAAATGATCCCGGGGGAGGCGGGCCCCGTGGGGCGATCCTGGTCGTTCTGCCATGGAATGTGTGCCTAGGACACCAAGTCCCTGCCCCTGTGTGGCTCCTGGTCGGACTGGGGACAACAACCTCCCCACCTTGACACTGGGGCTGCTCTGTGCTCATCGTGGCTACAGAGATGCTGCCAGTGCTTAAAAACTCCATTTTTTCAGGCCGGCCAGACTGGGGTGGGGGGGAGTCTGGGTCTCGTCCACCACTTGTTTGTTTTGGTACCTCCAGAAGGGAGCAGATGGGAGAGACTTAATTCCATGGGATGTATAGGAATGAGCACGCCGGCCCTGCGGAGCAGCCGGGCTCCTCGCTGGGGCTGGGGAGTCCCCTGCTCCGTCCCCTGCTGAAGCATCCTTCGTGCCTGGATTGGGTGGCATCCCGGCAGGGGGAAGCTGCTGCGTGGTGGTGAGAGACCGTCTCCTCCTTCCCTCCTTCACAGCTCTTTTGGGATGCCACTCTTGGCTTTTCAGGATTCGGTTGCTGTCACAAAGCCTACTGAGAGAGAAGAAATGAGCTGGAGCAGTTTCAGTGGGGGCTGCTCACCAGCTCTGGGTCTGACACCAGCCCTGGCTGTTGATTGCGCTGTAAATGTTATTCTTTCCTGTTTCTCTTTCCCCGTGATGCCTCAGAGGGAGGTACGGGGTGGTTTTATTCGTGTGAGCCAAGCAGCAGGGAGGAATCCCCAAGAAGTCCCCTTAGACAGACAGAGGGAGTGTGCAGAGCAGAGAGAGCACGGTTGTGCATTCCTTCAATGGCAGCAATCGCAAATCTGGCCTAAAAAACCTCTTTGCAGCCAGCGTCTTCTGACTGCAGGTGCCTGGCCAGCAAGGTTGTTTCCTTCCCTGCACTAAGGCAGGCCCATCTCACCCAGCTCTGCGTGTGAGGAGCTCCAGCCTCTGCCCAGAGCATGTGGGGATGCTTGAAGTGCTACCCCCAAGGGGTGCTGGCACCCATCCTACGGCAAGTAACTCAGCCTCCATACTCCTTGGAACTGGAGGCAGTGGCAGACGCAGCTGGGGATGCTTTGGCTGGGGGGGTCGATGGCCAGGATATTTCGTTCCTTATCAAAGTGGGGTCGATTGGGGGGTGTGAAATAGGAAGGAGGCAGCGTTTCAACAGGGGAGCTGCGGGGCACATGGATCCCTGTCCCTCAGCCTCTCTGTTGGCTGGGGGGGAACACAGGCGCCTCCTTGTTCGCAGTGGTTGGGCTGAGGCTCCTGGGCCCTTTTGCACAGATGCAGCTCAGATCAGTTATGTCTAGAAATAGATGCTGCCTGAGCGAAACAGCGCAAAGGAGCCGCCGCTGCTGCAGTCGCTGGCCTTGGCTCTTGGCCTGGAGCAGGGTTTTGCTGCTCTTTGCTCCCCCTCCCATGGGTTTTATCCCAAGGTCTCTGCGTGGGCCAGGCCGGGCACAAGGGCGGCCTTGGCTCCGGGTCTGCGGCTCCTCGTGTTCGGGATGGTTTCACTGCGCAGGCAGCGTGTGCTTTGCCTCTCACAGCATCCCCAGCCCCCTGCCTGCTTGCTCTCCCGTAGGAAATGGAGCCAGGAAGGGGTTTCAGGTGATGTCCTGGCCACGGTGCTGCTGCTGCTGCCTCCGGCCAAGGCGTTTGTGGCTCTGGGGCTTCTCTGCAGCCCTCAGCAGCGAGCACGGACGTGCTTGTTCCCAAACAAGGCTGGGAAGGGTCTGCCCGAGCCCTTCGGGAAGGGATCCCGCTGCTGCCGCGCTCCTGGAGGGCACAGGCACTGCAGCAGCGCAGGCTATGGATGGCAGAAAACCTCGGCTCCAGCCTGACCTGAAGGCTCCAGGGCGAGGCCGGGGGCTCGCGGGGAGGAAGGCACAGCGGGGAGGAAGGAGGCCCCTGGCTGGAGCCGGCGCTGGGCTGGAAGTGTGACCTGTTTAGATGGTAATGCAGAGGGACGGCTGAGGGCAGCACAATGGAGCACAAAACAGGCGCATAATGGCTGGAGGTTTAATCCCCTGCCGCCGCCTGGAGCAGGGAAAACAATGCTGAGGGTTTCAAATGGCCCATCCAGGCCCTGGCAGGGGAGTTATTTGTCAGCCTGGTACCCCCAGAGAGCCCTTTCCTGTGCTGGAAGAGAAGTGAAAGAGAAAGGGAGAAGGAAGGGCAGAGAGAGCCCTTTCCAAGGCACGGCAGCAGCAGGGCGCAGGCTCCACTTGGGGCAACGCAGCGGAGTTTTCCTGGTCAGTTCTGGGGAGTTTGGCTCCCCCCAGAGCAGGGGGAAATGAGGCATTAAACCCATGGAGCACCTTAACGTGACCGTT